TCCCTTTAAAATATTATTAGCTTAGCTATAATTTCTGAATAAAATGCTCATGGGAGTCCCTTTAAAATATAAATAGCTTAGTTAATTTTCTGAATAAAACGTCAATGCAGTCCCTTTAAAATATAAATAGCTTAGCTAACTTTTCTGAATAAAATGGAGCATAGATACGTTAGTGAATCAGCAGTGTTAATAAGATTTAAATGTTTATATTCTTGATTTTCTTATTCATTGTTGTTGTTTTTTCTCTAGAAGAAAATATATAGGAGAGTTAATGCACACTGTTTAGTTGCATAAACATCTATTGAAGCAGGATGAAGTTTTTAAAGCTCGAACCAGAGGGCGAGGGATTAACTAAGCGCCTAGTCCAATATAGGTCTGACAGATGTGTCAAATAGAATTCGGTATTGTACCCATCAAGTTATAATAAGGTCATATAATAACCTCATAATATATCAAACGTTAAATGTAATTTGCAGATACAAATGTGCTTGTAATACGCAAAACAAGTTTTATTGAATTCCATATGGCGTTCAAAGATAAAAAGAATCTCACATAGATTGTTAACTCGTCCAAGAAGATTGAATAAAGCTCGTCAGAGTTAACGTTTCCCTTTATAAGATTTTCTTGAATGTATAAAGCTATTTATCTGCTGAAGGTTATATGTTAGATCCATTTAATGTCCTATTTATCTCAAAATTCTAGGAAAAGTTATTTAGTATTTCAAATGTATTTATTTAAGCACAAAAACCTAACAGTTTTCACGTGTACCTGCTCCCAAAAAATCCACGCAATACTCTGACTCAGCTTTGCAAACTAAAGGCCTCAACAGACGGTAGGATTTAGTTGTACAACACTAATTAGAGATAAGATGTACAATTTTCAAAGCAATACAACACTTGCATTCAGACAGTAATTCTGCATTGTAGGAATCATATCAGGTTTCCCGAAAAAAAGTTTCCTCCCAATTGATCCCTTACATACTTTACTCACCATTTTTTCTCCATGAGTAATTATGATTGAAAAACCTCCATTTTTTAAAAACAAAAGATAAATTTTATTTCTTTTAATGTGCAGCCTGACCGATACTCAAACCTTGGACCCTCGGAATAACGTGCTGCGGTTCTATTGACTGAGCTATACTGCCGCCTACAAACTACCTCCCCTGATAAAAGAACAGTTCAATACCGTGACATAATCATTTTCAGAACATTTTGGGATTCAAACATACCGCAACTTTGGGTCTCCTGAAGAGTTTTTCAACATCAGTTTTACCCCATCTTTCTACTATGTTTACCTTTTAGCCCTAATTGTTCTGGATTTTTCATTACACCCATTATCAGGAGATAATTTGGTAATCTGTTACTTGTCATCGTTGGAGGTCTGTAGAAATTTGTACGACAAGAATTTCAAAATAGAATATGTCCTATCCTTTACATCTAGACTTAAAGTTTATGAATTCAAGAAATAGTAGCCTTCACACATAAGATTTGCCTGCACATTGTAGTTTTAATTGGTGTTGTACTTCAAAATCATACCGTCTGTTGAGGCCTTTAGTGCACTGTTATAATAATAAATATACCACAATTATTTTATAATTAACGTGACAGTTCTGTCAGATGCGAGACCCACCTATTTTCTTGTTTCTTCAACATCAAGTTAACTCTTTGATTCTTTATATGTCAATAACTATCCACAAATTGTGATTTTTTAAAAGCAGTTTACCTGGTAAAAATCTATCAAAACATTTCACATATTTTTCAAGAAACAAAATAAGTAAACAACACAGGCACAATTAACGATGCCTGACAGTGCATAAACAGTAGTTTTGTAAATTGTGAACATTTGTATCAGGACATTTGACAAGAAACATGAGACTTAATTTTAGCAATACCAATACCCTCCCTAAATATATATAATACACTTTCATGATACGATACTGACGAAATAGATTGTCAGTAGTACAATTTTTAAGAGCTTTGGCAACTTTTTAACCATCATGTCTCTTCTTTCGAACAAGTAACCATGCTTTTTATACATTCTTAAAATACAGAATTTAGACCATTTGATGATTACTACATCAAGAAAGAAGCATTGAATGTGAAAAAATGTGTCTTAAAAGTAGCAAACTGTAAACCAAGTAGAATTTTAACGTCCGAGCAAAGTATTTAATCACTGTAAATGGACTAAATTCCAAAATGCAAAAGTAGCAAATGATAATTCAGCCATATGGTCAATGAGTAATTTTGGAAACTGTAACAGGACAGCAAAGAAATTAAAAGAGAAAATAAATATTATCATGTTTGGGGGATTAATGGACCATTAGCATTAGTAACTTAATGACATATACTCTTGATCATCATATTGACATTGTAATCTTTTTATACTCGTAAGTAAGAATAACCAGGCTTGGCAACATACCTCAGATGTCGGTGTAGTAATTTAATTCATAAAATTGATTGAATGAAGGAGTTTCTTAAATAGCTTTTAAGCTTCGTTGATAGCATGATTGTAATTGTACTGTGTATAAAATGTTTGACTGAAATCAAATATTGCTTAAAACTATAGTTAATGTTTGCAAAAATATTTTTCGTTACTACAAAAATTGTTTTGTATGGCGAAATATGCGATTCAGTGAGTGTGAATAAACTCATATTTGTTCATACATACAATTGGAAAAATACATCAAAAACCAACAAAATTTTAAATATCAATACATGTTTCGCTTTATAAGCTTCATCAGTTGATAAATAACAAAGGAAAAATGATGTAAAAGTACATACATACGTACAATGGAATGTTCGGATATACAATGCTTCTAACAATTATTGTCAATAGTATAAATAGAAAATATAAAATAACATACTTACTGAATGACAGCTAAACCACATTTTGCTTAATATATATATATTATATATATAGTACGCACTAATCAGTAATTATTACTTTTATCATAAGTTTGTAACAGAAATGTTCATATGCCGAGTAGATACGTCATATTGCTGTTTGCTGATAGCACTATAACTTCTATACAATACTTAACATTACTGTTTAAAATCACACAAACTTCATGTTTATAGCAGTCTGATCACACATTTGCAAAATAATGAGAAATATGAAAGTTAAAACTGTTTTTTTTACAGTCACATCTTTGTGAAGCGACAGACATTCAATTTATTTAAAAATATTTATCAATGATGCCATTAATAGATTTTATAATCGTTCAATTCTGATTGACTGGTGATTAATATAAAATGTTTGTTTTGTTTTTTACATTATTCGTAAATATCACTTAAAACTCACTGTGGCGTTAAAACAATAAGTTGCAATGTTAGAAGTTGAGTAAAATGTCAGCGTTTTTTTTCCAAATAACAATAACATTTAAATGTCAATGTTTTATGATTATTTCTCTTTTTTTTTTTTGAAGATTTTTTTATGGTAAACATATTACCAAAATTGTAGCTTAGCAAAAGGTATTCAGGATTATGTTAAAAAAGTGTTCATAATTGAAATGACCACAAAGTTAAAACCAGGAATTAAGCGCATTAACTACTATAAACTATTGTAGGTGTATTTCGTATACCTAAAGTAGTGTGTGTGCAAAGATATACGATATGTTTATCCTTTTATGGTGACAAACAATTATATGCATACAAGCAACAACGAGCGCTTTTCGGACCTATATGACAATAACATTCATAACACAAGGGTTCAGTGACCGCCAACGACTCAACGTAAAACAGGCCGTTAAAATAAAAAGTTGACAAAAAAAACGAATCAATTTTTGATAATGAAACGTAGGAAAGTTTGATAAAATGATTTTTTTCTCAAGAGATGAATAGCAAGAGATTGTTTTTTAATATGTTATTGTGTTTTGCGTGTAAATTTTATTTAATGTAAAATTCATTTCTGTAATACAGCTCATGGCGCAAATGAAAGTTTCACGTATTGTTAATTACAGTCCAACCCCGTTTATTCGAAGTGCCTGGGACTGAATATTTACTTCGAATAATCGATGGGTTCGAATAATCGAAATCCGAATATTGTGATAGACGAAAACTACTCCACTTTGACGAATCGTAGCAAAACTACCGTTTACAACACATTTACTTCCTGTAATCAATTGAGAAAAATAAATATTAAAGAAAAGATGCGTAAAAATTATTGTATTGACATTGAAGACATAAATACTTGCATTTTATTCTACATTATGTATCGTTTCGTTTCGCGCAAACCTTGATAGTGGCCGTGTTGTCACTACGGTATTTACAGCTAAACTCTGGTATTTTCGATTAGGAAAAAGGCTCTTATGTAGCGCTTTGGGTGTTTTGACAAATTTACATATACGGTATGTATGAAAAATATTGCTGTCATCTTCAAGCAATAACAGTAACAAAATCGGACAAGGTGCATTGCTTTTCATTTTCGGTAATTAAAGTTGATTAAAGAACACAAAAGAGCTATTATCACGATTGTCTAAATACATGCATTACTATTGATGTTTTTCACAAGTCGACCAGTCAGCGAGTGGATCTGCGCCAACTAGTCTGACTTCGAATAATAATTAGGGTGGCTTCGAATAATAGGTGTGAAATTCTGTTATAATTGTATAATCGGGACCGAAATTTTACTTCGAAAAATAGGAGGTATTCGGATAATGCATTTCGAATAATACACTCGTATTTATATTGATTTATATAGAGATAAAAACGGGACCGCCGATCTACTTCGGATAATGCCGGGTATTCGAATAAAGGGTTGTCGAATAACCGGGGTCGGACTGTATATAAATTAAAATTGCGCATGCGTAGAATGAAGGTGCAGAGTAATTGTAGTCTTTTGAAAAAAATCTCCAGCAGAGAAACTCAACTTTAACGAAAGAAGCGTCAAATAGCACCATTTAACATTTGGATAATTTAAGAAATAAAGAACATGTATATATACCGATGAATATAAAATGTATATATGTATTAACGGCTAATGCTAGTTAAAACAATACTTACTTTTTATGGTGTTGCACTACTCCAAAACTGGAAGCATCCAAAAATAGTAACACACAATCTCGGACAGAATATGATTGTGAGAATTTACCTTGTCCGTGATAAAGACATTGCATTAAACATTTTAATTCATGTTTAACATAGCATTCTTTTTTGTTTCAACGGAAGTTTATATTTACATATGACTGTAATATTACATTTCAAACTGACAGTCCGTTTACACTTCATAACTCACAGTATTTTCCCCGTTGGTAAATTGTGACATACTGGGCGACAATAACAGTAATTTCCATAAAGTCATATTTCATAATTAATGTATTCATAGCTGCGATTGACCTTTAGACCTGTAATCATATATGTTTAAGTTTTTGTAATTATCGGATACATACAGAAATATTCTAGGGTGTGAGTTGATAATAAGTCAATTATCAAGTTAATGAGCATAAATTAATGTCCATGATTTGCGTTATTCGTGAATAAAGACCATTTATACTATGCGACCGTTTTGATAGACATTATGTTTCTCCCAGTCCCAATGATTATACAAAATGTTGCTATAGTTTTTCAGTAACGCCAAGACAAACACTCCTTTAAAGTGGATTGGTCTATAAAGTACAATAAATGAGCCGCGTCATGACAAAACCAATATAATGGGTTTGCGACCAGCATGGATCAAGATCAGCCTGCGCATCCGTGCAGTCTGATCAGGATCCATGCTGTTCGCTGTTCGAAACTGATAGCGAACATCATGGATCCTGATCAGACTGTGCGGATGCGCAGGCTGGTCTGGATCCATGCTGGTCGAAAACCCATTATGTTAGTTTTGTCGTTACGCGGCTCAAATAATTACGTTGATAGACGTAATCATTAGACACTACAAGCAATCCATGAAAGAATAACGTACATATGGATGCTGTTGACAAGCGTGAGATACATAACCCTATAGAACATATATTTATATAGCAGATAATAAATTGTTCTAGGACAAAATATTATTATTCATCATAAAAATGTTCATTCTAAATCTCTTACTATCAGCTGTTTGTTGTTCTTTTTTCTTGTTGTTTTTGTTGTTTTCATTTTGTATTTAATAAGAATATCTACATATTGTTTTTTATCAATATTTGAAATACTTTTGGAAAATGTGTCAATTTTAGAAAATCCACTTTGAAACAAACTTATGCCATAACATTAAATCTTTAAAAAAAAAAACAGAACGCCTATGTACAGCTTTAAAATGACCGTATACCCAAAATGAGTTTTTTTACATATAATTTATAATTAACTCCATTTTTTTTAAAAATGGGTACAAAATTAACAAAAAAAAAAGAACCAAATTATTATTAAATATGTACGGAAGCGTCCTGGTGCCAATTTAACATTTTCTATGAAAAACAATATCTCTTACGTAGGTAGGACTTTATAACTCCTACGTAGGACTTTATAAGACCTACGTAGGAGATAAAAAAGCCTAATTAGGAGTTTATAACTCCTACATAGGACTTTGTAACTCCTACGTAGGACTTTATAACTCCTACGTAGGAGATATAAAAACCTAATAAGGAGTTTTAAAGTCCTACGTAGGACTTACAAACTCCTACGTAGGACTTTTTAACTCCTACGTAGGAGTTAATAAGAAAAAGCCTAATTAGGAGTTTATAACTCATGCGTAGGACTTTATAAGTCCTACGTAGGACTTTATAACTCCTACGTAGGAGATAATAACTCCTACGTAGGAGATGAAAAACCCTAATTAGGAGTTTTAAAGTCCTACGTAGGAGTTTAAAAGTCCTACGTAGGAGTTTAAAAGTCCTACGTAGGAGTTTATAACTCCTACGTAGGACTATTTAAGTGTTCTTCTTTGTAGGACTTATAAAGTCCTACGTAGGAGTTATAAACTCCTAATTAGGCTTTTTTATCTCCTACGTAGGAGTGACAAAGTCCTACGTAGGACTTACAAAGTCATACGTAGGAGTTATAAAGTTCTTCGTAGGAGTTATAAACTCCTAATTAGGCTTTTTTAACTCCTACGTAGGAGTTATAAAGTCCTACGTAGGAGTTTGTAAGTCCTACGTAGGACTTTTAAACTCCTAATTAGGTTTTTATATCTCCTAGGTAGGTGTTATTAAGTCCTACGTAGGAGTTACAAAGTCCTACGTAGGAGTTATTAACTCCTAATTAGGCTTTTTTAACTCCTACGTAGGAGTTATAAAGTCCTACGTATGAGTTTGTAAGTCCTACGTAGGAGTTACAAACTCCTAATTAGGCTTTTTTATCTCCTACGTAGAAGTTTATTTTTTTAATAGAACATTATGAATTGGCACCAGGACGCTTCCGTAAATATGTGTCTGACATCATAATCAATTTTTAAAACAGCTCACTAATGTACAATTATAACAAAGTCCGAGGTGGTACATGTCGACATTTGTAAAGATTTTGTACTTTCGGTTTCTATAACCATAATAATAATAAGTATATGCATAATATACTGTTTACTGTTATATCTGTAAATTTATTTATTTTTACTCGATATATTGGTATAAATTAAGTCTTCATCTCCAAGCATAGAACTACTATTTGTTTACATGTTTAGTTTCTTAGCGAAAGTTACCGAAATACCTTGTCCCGTTCTGTGTATTCATACTTCTTATCCGAAGTTTGACGGAAAGGGAAGAGGAAATGCGGATGGGGTTTTAGGGTATTAAATAAACTATCAGCTTTTATATGGATTTCCACAGCTTTCTGTTAAAAAATTAAATAATAAGTTTTGCTCCTCATTCTTAGGGCTATTCCCACGCCTAAGAAAGGAATAAAAATACCGAAACAGAAAGAACTTATATGCGTTTGAGTAGACAGCTTTGAACATTTACGAAATGTAAAAAAATGTTCTGATCATATTACAGTCTACGTATAAAATTTTTGTTGAAGGCTGAGGTAAATATCTCATTTTCCAGGTCAATAGACTTAAATATTCACCTCATCATTATAAATAATTGTTTATCCATTTTCACATTGAAATATATACAATTAGCCTCATTATCATTATGGATAATACAAAAATCGTGCAATTTACAAATCGATTATATAAACCGTGATTTTAGTGCCCACTTTGTATAAACACGTGCCAATCTAACTTTACTTGCGCGCTTGGGTCAGTGGGTCCAATGTCCAGATGCCTATGGCAGAAATTACCAGGAACGAAGTTTCCAGCCAATATTACAGTATTTTTTTCCGAAAGGCTAAATAAACCAAATTGGTGCACAGGAGTGTTCGTCCGCATAATCAAACTATCAAGGAAGGGGTGCTGAGAGAAGACGTGTCCAGTTGCAGATTTGTTGTCCCTGTGATGGTGCCAGCAGAATCAACTTGAGCTTCCCTTGAAGATGATTGTAGTATATTTTTGTTGTATATTATGTCATAAATCAGAAGATATACCTATAATGACGCCGATATAAACATTAAAAGTCTTTTAAAAGCCCAACAAATATCATAATTCCGCTGTCCATACAGGAAGAACTGGCTTATGAAGAGCTGTTAACTTCGTTAAAGAAAATGTCTGATAATACAAGTCAAGTTCGGGTAATGATGGATTTACAGTTTATTTTTTATTTTTTCTTGCTTAATCATTAAATTATGCATATTGTACAGGAGAACTTTCAGGTACACAAAAACAATTTAAGGGGTTACAAAGGGCAATAAGGAAAAATGAAATTTATAGAAGGTCAATTTCATTATTGAATGTTGCTTATAAAATAGCTTCTGCTTCAATAGCCTTTCGTTTAAAGAATAATTTGACATATATAATAAATTATGATCAAACGAGATTCATACCATGAAGACAAATGACATCAAATACTATGTTGTATGATTTATTATTAGTAAGTAAGTAAGTAAGTAAGTAAGTAAGTAAGTAAGTAAGTAAGTAAGTAAGTAAGTAAGTAAATTTTATTATAGTGACATTGTACGTGTTATGTACAATATAATAAATATACATATAACAAATTACAACACCCGGCCAAGTTGGACCTATAAGTCACTTTAAACTATATACAATTTATATAAATGATTTACAATAAAACATATCTCTTTACAATAAAACGTACCTGTTCATTATATGTGCTGAGATTCGTTCAATTTTTATCTGAAATAATCATTGTATAAAAGGTATCAGAATTCATGGCAAAGAATATTAAGTGTCCCAATATGCAGATGATACTAGCTTGTTTCTAGAAGGCTAGGAGAACTCTTTACAAAACACAATGATTTTTTTAAAAATCTATGCTAATATAACTGGCCTTGTTATTAATACAGAAAAAAAAAACTAAAGTGGTTTGGTTCGGTTTACTTAAAAATACTGTGACCTGTCCAGAATACAATCCGGATTGGAACAATGAAACATTTACTCTGTTAGGTATTAAGTTTTTAACAGATTTAAGTCAAACTATAAATCTAAATTATGATGCAAAAATACACGAATAGAATAACCTTTTGCTAATTGGTACTAAACTAAAAAAAAATATCTTGTCTACTGGAAAACTTGTAGTTATAAAGTCTTTGCCACTTGCCAAACTAAATCATTTAGGTAAACCCAATCTGCCTTTCAAAAAAATAACCACTTTATACAAAATCTTTTCTGGAAGGTAAAGTTAAGAGGAATGTATAATTACTCAAGAATACAAGTTTTGAGGTTTAAAAATGACTTCCCGTTAGAGTATAATGAATAGTCTAAAGGTCACATAGATTAGGCGACTTATTCTGTCAAAAAATAATTATTTGCTAATAGTAGAAAATATTTGCCCTTACATTAAAGAAATTAGTAAGGTATGGAATAAAATTTGTGAGAAAAAAATACAATTAGACAGCAATCCATTTTGGAAGATGTCCCACAATGTTATTATTCTCTGTCTTTGAACGTAAAGCCACAATATGTAAATCATTATTATTTCATTCATTTGTGGGATAATCCTGAAAGTAAGGTTGAAAATTCCAGCATTCATTTGAACAGATGGATTGCTAGTGCAATTTTGATTTTAGGAGATCTTGACAAACAAGAGGGAAACTATTATACTGATGATGAAATGTTTTGCAATATTTAAAGTGAGAAGTAATTTCCTAGAATATATAAGTTTCATGATAGCAGTAAAATTATATTTTCTAAAAGTAAATGTACAGAAATTTTTACAGACTTTGCAAAAGAACAAAACTATAATTTACCTAGCCAACAAACTCTTTTAACAAAAATCAAAGGTAAAGAATGATGTCGCTATATCTACCAATCCATGAATAACCAAATAAATTCTTTACAAAAATGGATGAATGAAATATTTAATAAAAATGGTCCTTTTTTCTTTATAAAGAAAACTCAATATAATTATGATATTACGTATAAATTAACAAAATATCCAAAATTAATATGGTTCCAATTTAGAATTAATCATAGAATTCTTGCCATCATTCTTTTAATTAAGATAATAAATATTATAAATGAGGATAGTTATACTTTTTTGCCAAAATGTGGATAAGTAGGCTAAACCGTAAAACAATTTTATTTGCAAAATTATTATATTTGCGAATTATTTGCAATTGATAGAAAATATTTGCCGTTACATTACGGAAATAGTTAGGTGTGGAATAAATTTTGTCAAAAAAACAACAACAACAAAAAAAAAACCATTAAGACATCAATCCATTTTGGAAAAAACGTTCTTCAGAGCTATTATTCTAATCATTATTATTCCATTCATTTGATGGATAACCCAGAAGTTAATATTGGAAACTCCAGCATTCATCTGAACAAATGAATATATTCTAGAATATATGAGTTTCATAACAGCAGAACAATTATATTTTAAATTACTAAAATTAAATTTTAAAGAACAAAAATATAATTTACCTATCCCACATATTTTTTTAAAAATCATCGAAGGTTTAAAAGGATGTCGCTCTATCTACCAATCCATGCACTTATCAGAACAATACAAAAATGGATGAATGATCTGATAAAAATTGATCCTTACTTCTTTTAAAAAAACTCAATATAATTGTGATATTACACATAAATTTACAAAAGATCCAGAATTAATATGGTTCAAATTTAGAATTAATCATCGAATTCTTGCAACCATTTTTTTATTTAAAAAAAATGAATATTATTAATGAGGACAATTGTACTTTTTGCCAAAGTGACAAAGAGACGTGGGTGCATTTATTACATTTGATTGTGATATTATAAAACAGTTTTGGACAGAAAAACAGATATATATAAAGGACAAATGTAATATAAATTTCAAAAGTTAAAGCCTTTCTGATATTTTATTCGGTAAAACATATCTGGACAATGTTACAAACCAAATAATGTTAAATGCAAAACTTATTTACATATATATTATAGCAGAATAAAACAAACAAGGCCTAGATTAGAAAATTATAAAGCTGAAAAGTATATCTCCAATCTTTTAAACTAATTATTTTGAAAAATCAAGGAATAAGTATATTAATATGACTGAGGAAACAACAAATGTACAATGGTTGGTCAAAATGTCAAACTAATTAATTCGTTTCTATTTATAATGATTAATTAGTTTCTATTTATAACTCCAAGTACGTTCAGTGTTATAGAAAATAAAAAGCCAAACCGCCAACTAACCAGGCAAACGAGAGTTAAAATTTAGCAAGCGAAGTAAAGGGCTTAACATAAATTAAAGTTAGTGACATGAATATCATGCATTTGTGTCCAAACAATACAATCATGCATTAATTATTTTGCTTTTTATAATAATGCACGTTTGTAACGTCGTACGTTTTTCATTTGATTATCGTCACGTTTATATTACAAGTTATAAAGATTTTTTGACAGGTACGTTAAAGATAACAAATATTAGTAGTAAAGCATACAACAACATGCAAGTATATAAATGAAAATACAAAATGGTTAGTTATTATGTTAGAATAATAATTAGATCTAATAACTGTTTTATTTATAACTGTAATTAAGTACGTACATGTATATTTATTATGGTAAAATGTTTTGTTAACATACAACATATTTAAGCAAACAGCCTAGTTGACGGGGGAATACAAATAAGTTAAGTTTATCTAGCAAACAAAAATGATAAACACTTAATGTAGTTATTTAGTAATAAAAACATTTTTGTATATGTGGTGAAATAGAAAATACAGAACACTATTTCATCCGCTGCCCCATGTATCAAGATGACCGCACTGTCCTTATAAACAATTTAAGTCAAATCACAACTGTTACATTGAATAATTTACTATACGGCGATAATTCACTTACCGGTGCTCAAAACGAAACAATTATATCACATATACATAAATACATATAAAAAACAAAAAGATTTGATACATAATAATATTCGTTTGAAAATAAAAAGGTCCTCCAACTCCATAGTAGTAAAGTGACTTTCTTTCTTTCTTTTGTTCCTTATCTCTTCTTCTCTTCTATTATTACTTCTCCTCCAATGTACATGTTTTAATAATTAAATTTCTCAACATATTAGTTTAATTAACCAATCATATATCCCTTTAAAAAGGAATTCATACTCGTGCTTATACCTCTAATCTAACAGCAATGTATCTTAAATTTAGTTCATGAATACTTGACATAAACATAGTATGTATAGTAAGAAAGCAAGAACAAGTCGATATGATATGTATAGTTTAGTTTAAATATTTATATTTTGTTACCATTTATTTGAAATTTGTTAAATACTGATTACGGAGAGAGTTTTCAAAAAAGCTTTACAAGCTTCCTACTCAATCCGTAAATTTTATTTTATGTAATTTATTATGTAAATGTGTGGATTATCAATAAAATATTGTTTAAACTAATAAAAACATGTAAAAACACATTCATTTTACTATCCGTTCTAAAAATAACTTTTCCGATTGTATACGTCATCGGCGATCTAGGTCGAGTCCGCACACGGAAATCGACGATGTTAAAAATAGAATGATGTCACTGAAACATGTTGAAACAGATATATATACTGAGCATGCTCAATGAATGAAGCGATATATACTATATAAAGCCGATACACGTTAAGATTATTCATACAGATTTAAACAGTGGTTATATCTGGGTAGGTTAGATATACTTATACCGATAAAGTTATCTAACTAGATCAAATTTAAATAATTAATTGCACATTTAGAGGTAAATGAAGTATATGAAGCTAAGATATTTACATGTGTTAAAATGAACATAAATGTACAATATGTAGCTACACAGTTTTTACACTTAAATAAATAGTAAACATTTTAAACATCTAGTATATTTTCTACTTACATGTTAATGAACATAATTTTTCTCTTCCAGAAGATATATACAAATTAAATTTTTGGAAAGAAATACGACAAATCGAAGAAGAAAATGGATGCTGTTGCGGGACCGTCAGCTCCGCCTTGTCTACCACCTGGCGGATTATTTGAAATTGTGTTCTCTTTTGATACAACTGGGTCTATGTCACGTGTTATTGATGAGGTAAAGGGCCGACTTCAAGACATGATACAGCGCCTCCAAGCGGACATTCCTGGAATAAGATTTGGAGTCATCGCTCATGGTGACTACTGTGACAAGGATGTATTTTATCTAGAGCAGCATATTGATCTTACAACAAATATCGTAGAGCTCACAGACTTTGTGAAGAACATTGAAGGGACAGGAGGTGGAGACCCAGAGGAATGCTATGAGTATATTCTTTGGCTTGCGAGGGGTTACAACTGGACAGCAGGGTCAAGAAAGGCTCTTGTTGTGATTGGAGATTCTGTTCCACATGAAGCAGACTATGATTTAAACACCAAGAACCTGGACTGGATAGAACAAACTAATGAACTTGCAAAAGCGGTGAGCAATATTACTTAACAATCAACTGAGAGAAAATTATAGTTAATTTATGAGAGAAGTGTTAAGAAAGGTCAACATAAGAGAGAGTATGCAGTTTTGAATTTTTTTAAACATAATTTTAACTGCCTGAATATTGATTTCATCTCGTCATTAACTTTTTACATTATGGTTATTTTTAATCACTTCGTGTAATTATTACCTTCCATTTTTCTTTTAGGGAGTCAAAATCTATGGTGTACAGGCATTTGAAGATGATAATTCAGCTGCTTTCTTTGAAAAAATGGCATCAACAACAGATGGACAACATCTAAAATTGGGAGATTTTTCTCATATCTGTGACTTCATTATGGCGATTTGTTACCGGGAAAAGGGAGACGAATTTTTAGAGGTAAGAATGTAACAGTAATTTATTTTTTATTCTTACCTTTAAGCTGAAATATCAGTCTAATAGTCAAACAATTTATGTAGTATTAAGTTTAAATGTATATATCTCAAACGGCTTAAACACTATTTAAATTTAAACTGAAATGTGATACTATGTGTAAACAAATACAAATATACACAAAAATGCTTATAAATACACACAGTCATTTTATAGATACATATAATCCAATTCAATAATATATATATTCAATCGATCAATTACAAATGTAATACTTTAAGTAGACGCAATGATATTGATTAATTAAAATACAGGTTTTGAATTTATATATATATATATATTATCCATGAGAATATTATGCACTCATCATTTCAACCTTATCTATTTTATTTAAGGGTTATGAAGCAGAAGTTCGCGCGAGAGAAGCACAAAAAGGTCTTCACAAAGATCTTGAAGGGTTATTTGGCGTGTTAAGACGAGGCGATTCATCCGCCTCAAACAGTGGATCACACAATCCCTTAACGCCATTGCTTAGCAGAATTTCATCATTGTCAACAATGTCAAGCCGATCGTCAAATGCCGCTCCCAAAACTGCAGTTGTAAACCCTATTATAAATGCTAAAAACATACCGAATACTACAACGATACGCAAAGGCAAAAATGCGGCAAATATTAAAAACAGACAAAAAGCAAATTTGAAAGCCGTAGGTAAGCCAAAGAAAAGCATGGCAAAATCAGTCATCACAGCAAAATACCGCCATCTTGTTTCAGACTCAAAGTTTATTTTGAAAAAAAGAAATTTGGATACTCGTTGGTCAAAATGGAACTTAGCTGTCAGTTCTGAAAAACCCAAGTGTGGAAAGAGTTGGGTTGAGAGAAAAAACAAAGTGGGATATCGCAAGAAATATTTATTTCCAAAGAGCGATTACAATGGACGCTCGCTATATGAAATTGCAGTGCAGCGATCAAAGGGATGTAAACTTTACGTTATGCAGGCCAAATGGTCTTCACTTAAACCTTTAGAAGAAAAATGGGAGACGAAACTTTTTAGACATCAGAAAGATATTGTAGAGAAAATATTGAGCAATGGTGGGAAAATATTCATCCGTAGGTTTGTTCCAAAAGGACTGGGAATTAAACAAAATGACTTAGTCAAATCATTCAATAGAGACAATTTGTATAGGTATGCATGGACATGTGGTTTAATGAAACCAGGAAAGTTATCGTGGGCAATGCGATAAATGACGATGTGAATTCATGAATTATCATGAATATACAAATCTAATGTGTCAAGTCAGTTGGATTTATTGATTTCTTGTTGGCTATTATAAATTTCTATATATATTTATCTTCTATATTGATTTACTTGGTTTACTTATTTACAAAGAACATATCTTGCCACTTTATGAATCATGCTATTGTCTTTTCATCTTCAACACTTTGGACATATTCTGCAGACATGTGTATAGACTTTTTGCTGTTGTTATTGTTGTTGTTTTTTGTTGTTCTTTTTCATAAAATGATATGATATTATAATGTACATAAAATTTGCATTTTCAATTGTTATAAAGAAATAAAAACAAAGAGATAAAAAAGAATAAAACGAACTTCCTATTGAATTTCATTCAATTCTCATAGACTGAAGAAGAGAAGAAATTTTTATTTCAGTCTTATAAAGAAAGAAGTAAAATAGTTTATTTCGGAAAGTTAAACATTAACAGCATCTTGTTAATGCAGTAATTACTTCGGTCACATGACAAAAAGCAAAGATGATAATGACATCAAAATTTAACTAATGACATCCATACAAATTTGTAACACATGACAGGACCTATAAATTATAATGTGAAGGGCCATCTGGCATAAATGGCGGGTTTAAGTACAGAGAAATATACAATACTTACCAATAAAATACGGCAACTAACGACAAAACCTATCGAAATTAATCAGACTCAAGTTTTATAGTTGGGTATACAATCATGGTTAATTACCCCAATTTCGTCAAGCATATTGTGATGAAACAAAAAAGAGATTAGTGTTCTGTAGCCATTATGTGCACCACTGTTAAATGGAAATTAAATGGTATCGATTGGCGCCGGAAAAGTCATTTAAGTCGGGAATTATTTTTTTTTAGGAATTTAAAAGTAATACGGTTTTATACATTTGTACAGAAATACTGATTTTTTGTTTTTAACAGATTGCAATTAAATAGTTTGTTTTGTCATTGTGGGATTAGATTCAATAACAATTTATATTGTGGACTAAGATTCTTATAGCATATACATGTAAGATTCGTGAATCATGTTATGAAAATATAGCTTAAGACAATATTTATTAACTATAGATCTATTTCTTTTACAAAGAGATTCTACAGATAATGGGGTTTAAATCAAATGCTTGGCATAAAGATGATCGATGTGAAAAATAGTTTTAATTTTGAAGCATAATCTAGCAAATACATATCTTTCAGGAACTTTAGTAATTTATCTGCAAACATAATTATATAATTAAGTTCTCAAGACAAAAGGTAATAAGGTCTTGATAATTAAGGTATGGATTTGATTTGGTTTCAGCTGCACTCTTGTATGTTATAGTTGCATACGAAACTGGCCAAAAAGGTAACTTTCAAACAATGTTTTGCAATGTTTTGATTTATAAAGATTCAGTATGAATGTACGATTTATAATTCTTTGTGCAGTAATATGATTTAAAATGCAATGTCTCAGATTTTTTGTTGTTGTTTTGTTTTGTGTTTTTCTTTGTGCAATGGTAGTATTGAAAATTGATTTAATCTGGGGTGGGAAATCATTATTACCAAAAAGACAATAAAGCAACCTTATCATTAATCTGATGTCTTAGATTTATTTTGACCTTTGGCTGAATTTATGGCGTTTTTGCAATCCGGCATAACCATAAGTGGGAAAAAAACAGGTGTAATAAATTCATGTAACTATACTCTCCGATGTAAATGAAATATAGAAGACATTTCTGGGATTGGGCAAATAGATATCTTGGGAATTTATCATCGTATTGCTTTCAGAAAAGCACAGATCGCATTAAACATATGAGTTCACCAGAGAGCCCGGAGAAGTTGACCTCCTGTCTACTTCTCCTTCTTTTACAGAAATGGGTAGCAGACATTTACAGTGTACTAGATATAATGACCATGCATGGGTGTTAGAAAAATAATTGTGCGCTTGGCCAGTACATTTAAGAAGTCCTAGCAACATAGCAAAAGGGAGAAAATACCTTAAACCTAGAAGAAGGGATATTAAATATTCTACAATATGTTCATGGTTTTCGTGCATTTAAAAGTCGGTTAGTATTTTTAAAACTTAAAAAATGACTGATAAATGCAGCAGTCCAAGTGAATGCAGTCAGAGACTGTTTCCGCGCCGACTTCTTTCTGATAAAAAGTATTCTATAGTTTGAAAATATAACTATCTAAAGATGTAAATTGATGATTGTACATGATGATTTGCTTTACTGTGATGATGTCTTGATTACCCAAGTATGCCTCTTGATTGTTACTGTCTAATCTATTAGTTGTGTGCCCGTTCTCTACAGACTGTCATCTTAAGTAATGATGATATAATGTTTATTATGGAACTGGCGATTAAGAATACGTTGTAAACCTAACAGTACATTTTTGAGAGATTCAGTATCTTTCTTGTTAGAAGAATATTAAAAAAATAGTGTAACTAATTACTATAAGCAACTGTTTTTGTTGATTGTGGCGCCGAATAAAGTTTTCGTTTAAGGAACGAATTTGGCTACCTATCGTTGTATCTTTATGGTACTGGATATAAAAGATCTGAAGTTGATTTCAACTCCTAGATACAAATTATGTAAGTAGCTCTTGAAGTCTGGAGAGGTTGATTGTGCAGGCGTTACGGCCTGAAATATGGCGTGTATATGGCAATGTTAAAAGGCATCTTCCACTTATTAAAAAAGCAACAACATAGATTTGAATTTATATCAATATTTGAAAACGAAAGTACCTAACATTATTAGCTGTAAGAAAATTTTGACACTTATTGTTGTTATGTAACTTAACTCTCTAATAATTGAACGTTTGTGCAGAGTAAACTTTGCCTTTTTAAAGAAAAATATAATAAGAAAATACATAGATCAGTACTTTACAAATGTATGAATTTTGTGTGTATTATTTCAGAACACTGTTTCATGGTATTGTATTATTTCATGAATTTTATAATTTGCATTGTACAATAAAGAGAAATAAAAAAAAATAGCCCCTAAAGCCTAAAAAAAAAAAAATTTGTTATTAATGATTTTTTTCCATTTCAAGTTTGTTAATATGTAGACTGGTAGGATATAATAATTCTAGTTATAATAAGGTAAATGTAAAGGTCTTGTTTATTATAGTGTCACCCCTACTGAAAGGGCCAGCCATTTATGACTTAAGAGACACCTTTTGCTTGCATACCATGTACCTCCCAACTCCTAGCACTATGCCAGGCGCCAGGCGGATAGAAGTCGGTATCCGTTCCTGCTCACGAAGCGGCCATTTCGGGACGAGTCCCAAAAGAAACATAAATAATAATTTCAAATTCAACTTTCAATCAATTAACTGATATATGACATATTCATAATTTTTCATTGCCAACAATTGCGACAGATATCAAAAACATTCTCGAAAATAGCCTACCATGACAGGTTTTTCCCCCTAAGATTTCAGATTTCGTTACTTGTTTAATTTTTCGAGAAAAAGAGATCATTTCGTTATAATATTTGTACGGTGATGCGTAATATCTATACAGCGTGTGTTTTTCGGTAGCACTCCACAGTTAATTTCAAGTTCCTGCCGTCAATGTCCTACAAGCAATACGTCTAATAATTCTGATACCAAACTACACAACCTGGAAAAAGAAAACACATTTTGTTGAGAACATATATGACATAAGATTGCAAATCAACAAAGAAATTATCCCATCTGCAATAGGCAGGCAGTCAAAAAATTTGCAATTCATTCCGTTGAAGCCCAAAATCTACAGTGGCCCGAGACCCAAAACAACACATTTCGACCCTCTGGCAAAAAATATCTGCAAATATACAGGCTAAAGGAACACCGTCTCTGCTTTAGCAACTCCCTATACATGCAAAATATCACAAAGAAACTAGTCCTCAACCTTGTAGATTTTTTGCTACTGCTAAAAGTTTGTACCCCCCTGTAAAATGACTTCTTTTTACCGTGCATGCTGTATAAAAGCAATGTTTACAAAAAATGGCGGCCTTGACATTCATAATCAACAGCATGTGATTTCTGGCCATGTTTTCGAATTTGCCAGTGATCATATTAGAGGTCACAAAAACAAATTTTATGCTGAAAATGCATTTTAAAGACAACCAGTCATTTAAATCCAGAATATTCACTATATCCAAGAAATCCACCCTGGCCATTCGAAGCTGTGGCTTACATTACTGTGGTGTGCTACCTTCTAATTATGGATCGTAAACATATGGCAAATAAGGGAAAGGGCTTTATAAAGGGCCATAAGACTCCCAAAAACAATGACAAGTATAAGAAATTCATTGGAAATAGATCAGAAGGTAAAAAATATGTATAAAATTGGGAGAAATAATGTAACTTGTAAACACAAAAAGTGAACGGTATTCGGATATGCAGTGTACGTAAAAAAAACACAATTTTAAAATTTATGAGTACAGTAGAAATCTAGATCTGTTTTTATTATGCCCCCACAGAGTGGGAGCATATAGCGTTGCACTTGTCCGTCCGAGTGTCCGTCCGTCTGTCCCGAAATCTTGAAAACGCAACTCCTCTTAAACCGGATGGCAGATTTTGCTTAAACTTCCAGGGATGAACAACCTTAATGTGTAGATGGTAGTAAAGGAAGGAATTTTTGCTGCGACCAAATTTAACAGAATTATGGCCATTTGTTGATTTTTTCACTATATACTATGTAGAAATTTTGTGAATGCAACTCCTCTTAAACCAGATGGCAGATTTTGCTTAAACTTCCAGGGATGAACACCTTAATGTGTAGATGGCAGTAAAGGGAGGAATTTTGCTGTGACCAAATTTAACAGAATTATGGCCCTTTGTTGATTTTTTCACTATATACTATGTAGAAATTTTGTGAACGCAACTCCTCTTAAACCGGATGGCAGATTTTGCTTAAACTTCCAGGGATGAACAACCTTAATGTGTAGACAGGGCTCATCCGGAAGGGCGATTCAGGCGAAAACTTCGCCGTGTATATTCCAATTTCGCTCTTCCCATTGATCAAAGAGAAGTCAACATCGCCGATAAAATCTTAATTCCCAAATAGTAATTACTTAGCGATGTAAAGAGCAGAGATTGTATCCGCCCATATGACGACCGCTAATTATCATTATCCAATCAGAGCGTCGCTTTATACTACCCTTCACCTGTAAGCGAAGCGATAGACCGCCTACTCTAAACAATAAATAATGAGAGCATCGGCCCGAAACGGTATAATTGTGTGATAGTTTTGCGAGTTTAATACGGGATTTGGCGATAATTATACATTGTTTTTTCCCCGATTATCTAAACATGTGCAATCTTCCCTAATTGATATACACGATGCACTTCGATGGTGGGTTTTTAACCCGAGTAAAGTCGATGTGCAATGGATTTTTCACAGCTATCACAAAACTGTTAGTCAATTAAAAATAATCAATTTCATTAATGATCAGCGACCGGATTAAAAACTTAATCATAGTTTTGAATGATTTCAGTCGGTTAACATCAATTTTTACTGTAAAATTGTTATGTCGCTCACGTCATGGCTACAAGGCGAAATGCCGAAACCAAGCAGTAAGAAAGTTACTGATTCTGATAGTTACACCTACGCGAAAATGTAAGAAAGCCATGCGATTGGTATGTTGTAGACAGTGGGGGTGTTAGGCATTGTTCTCTTTGTAGAAATGCCAAATTTGACACAGTTTAGGCACATGGGCAAGACATCCCCGCTAAACTACGGTCGTATATCATGTAACGTATATAACAACAAAATTTGTCAGGAAAGAAGTGTTCTTATTGTTTCAATATATATATTTGTTTTAATGTCGTAAATATGACGGTCAGATTAAGATTTATCAATATTGTAAATTTTAAAAAGCATTATTTATAAAGATATTACCTAATTTAACATTTCATGAAAATAAAGGGAGGTAATTAGAAATTAATTTTCTACAATTTCACAGTCAAATTTTTCAGTAAGAAATGAATGTATATAATTTTAGTGATCAAATATAATGTGCACAAATGTTTGCAGTACATATTTTACATATTCTTTGATGTTTGAAAATTGTTTTATAAGCATAATTATATGCATATAAATATGACATTACAACATTCAGGACTTTGAAAGAAATTTCTGTTACCAGAACAGAATAGAACAGATATTATTAATCAATATCCAATGTGACATCATCTTCTATTAAAAGTGAGGAAAGTAAAAAATATGAAATTGATTTTATCATCATATCTTTTCTTACACATTATTATCAACAAATGTACATGAAAATATATAAACACATATTTAGAGAAAGCTTATAAATAGCTGATCAATAGATATCAAAAATAATTTTTTATATTCATATTTGCAGCTCAAAAACATTTAGATGCCATTGCCAGATCTACTACTAATTAATCTACTTTTAATTAATACTACTATTAATTAATAAACTGGAGAAATATTATAAGTGATGTTAATTGTGTTTATATTATAATTAAAGGATGTATAGCCATGCATGTTAATGCATACACATTGGGTTGTTTCCCTTCTCCCTAATTTTCGCGAGGAAGTCACTTCTCCCTAAAATTTCCCCCCAGGATGAGCCCTGGTAGATGGTAGTAAAGGGAGGATTTTTTGCTGTGACCAAATTTAACAGAATTATGGCCCTTTGTTGATTTTTTCACTATATACTATGTAGAAATTTTGTGAACGCAACTCCTCTTAAACCGGATGGCAGATTTTGCTTAAAATTCCAGGGATGAACAACCTTAATGTGTAGATAGTAGTAAAGGAAGGAATTTTTGCTGCGACCAAATTTAACAGAATTATGGCCCTTTGTTGATTTTTAGTTTTCAATTTGTGGCACATGTAGTCCAAAAAATATTTGACCTAGAGTCATAAGAGTGACAGAACAGTGGCGTGTGGGGGCATCCGTGTCCTATGGACACATTTCTAGTTTTTAAAGCATTTCAAAAACAAAATCTGAAGTCTATAGGCATATGAGGTTATGGTGACAATGTAAATCTCTTTAAGCTGTTTCATTATATGAAAATGGCATAGCCTCAAAGCGAGCTTGATTTACTTTCACAGTGAAATAGTATCCTGGTGTAACCTAAATTTGGCGATACAAGAACAAATGTCAATGGCATTTTCAATAAAGTACAGTAATCTATAATTAAACTTGATATTATTTTACTACAACTATTTAAAAGTTACTTTAAGTTAATATCTAACAATGTAATCGTTTAGCTGTTGCCAAATAGGACTATAAACAAATATGGCTGATGTAAAATCTTACTACGATCTGAAAATGTCACCTGAATTTGGCGATTCTGATTAGTTGCAGTAAATTTTTAATTTTGGCGGGATTGTGACGTAGTACGTTGACCTAGAATAGTAAAAATAGTGTGATAACAGACGGTGACTGTCAAATTATTTTAAGCAACAATATCAATCAAATAGAGGAAAGTATAGATAAACTTGAAATTGCATCAGGTAAAACACACAATTTTCTCCATGTCATATACAATTTTTAAAGTTTGCCAGTCGTATCTTAATCTTTAGCGCAGAAAATCACTCGAGTTGTAAAAAAAAAGACCCAGGGACATAAACATGATTGACCTAAATGACCTTCACCTCTGAAATCTCTCGTGAATGACAAAAAACAAAACAGCGTCAAGTAAAGGAGAACGCTGAATTTGGGTCACAGTAGGATATAAAAATAATCTTTCAATTTTATTTTAAATTTTCCATTTTAAAATTGTCATTCGGTATTTTATACACTGCTTCTGGTTCCCTGTCCTATTATGGTTCCAATATAAGTGCGCAGGACACCAGTCTACGCTTCTGTTTTCAATCAGAATACCTCTATTTTTATCGTTTATTTGTAATTTGAAAAGTTGCGATGTGTCAATTCAGTACTTCGGACAAAAGTTTTCAAAACCATCACTATCTAGCAGGTACTCGCATTACCGTAAAGCTCGCTTTGGGAGCAGGTCCTTTGGGCCAGCTTTTCAAGCTTGCTACATAAAATGTACTTGACAAGACTCAAACTCAAAGCTTTCTCTAATCTACATGGTTCATATCGACGAAAATATACCCTTTCACACAGACCAATAAGATATATATGTAATGCAGCATCTGACAGAACAAAAAGATAATTAATGTGATGCTAATTTCCAGTCTCATTATATTATATGTATGGTTTCATATGATGTCACTTAGCAACTTCATTTAATTGACTATTGTCCTTTTCATATTTGGTTCTTTGTAATAGTTGTATGGTCCTATAAATCTGGGTGGAGTTTTGTATCAGTAAAACTGGGATCAAGATGATCACAAATGCTAACAATAGATATTAACAGTTTGGTTTATACACAATTTTTAACCAGGTTTTCCGAAGGAAAAAACTGGTTATTAGATTGAGGTATGTCGGCGGGAGGGCGGCGGACGGGCGGGCGGGCGTAAACAATTTCTTCTGTGCGCAACTCCTCCTACATTTTTCAACGGATTTTGACCAAACTTTCACAGAAGCTTTGTCATCAAGTGACCTGGCGCATATTGTCGGGGTTTTGTGATTGGATAATATTTGACCTAATTATGGCCCTTTGTTTTTTTTCCTTATATAGAATATATAGTGAATAATTTCTTCTGTGCCCAACTGTTCCTACATTTCTCAATGGATTTTGACCAAACTTTCACAGAGGCTTTGTCATCTAGTGCCCTGGTGCATAATGTCGGGGTTTTGTGATTGAATAATATTTGACCTAATTATGGCCCTTTGTTTTTTTTCCCAATATAGGATATATAGTGAACAATTTTCTGTGCGCAACTCCTCCTACATTTCTCAACGGAATTTGACCAAACTTTCACAGAGGCTTTGTCATCAAGTGCGTTAGGGCATATTGTCAGGGTTTTGTCATTGTATAATATTTGACCTAATTATGGCCCTTTGTTTTTTTTCCTTAAACAGATTATATAGTGAACAATTTTTACCATGCGCAACTTCTTCTACATTTCTCAACAGATTTTGACCAAACTTTCACAGAGGCTTCGTCATCAAGTGCCCTGGCGCACATTATGGGGGTTTTGTGATTGGATAATATTTGACCTAATTATGGCCCTTTGTTAATTTTTCTTATACAGAATATATAGTGAAAAAAATTTTCAGTGCTGAACTCCTACATTTCTCAACGGATTTTTTTCAAACTTTCACAGTAGCTTTGTCATCCAGTGCCCTGGTGCATATTGTCGGGGTTTTGTGATTGAATAATTTTTTATTTAATTATGGCCCTTTGTTTTTTTTTCCTTATACAGAATATAATTGTAGTGAACACTTCCTCTGTGGCAATTCCTCCTACATTATTCATGTATTACATTGCACATAGTTACATTGTTTGTTGCTTGTATTTGTATTTCAAATACAACATATTTATCTACAATGGTGATAATTGAAAACCTGGTTTCATGGCATTGCCATGTTTCTTGTTATTTATTAACCATTGTCTTTAATATGAAATTGTTAGGATTATACTTTTAATTGTTCTCTAACTTTGTGTAGAGTGCAGGGTCACTGAAGTCAAGGTCACAAGTCATGAAAAATGGATTATTACTTTTTTGCCTATACCGCCTTTGGGCTGATTTATTTTTATTTTAAAAGGCTGATATGGCTTATGGCTTAGAGCCTATTTGACTTGCTATTAAAGCAGGACATGTCCATTTCTTGATAGCAGCAATCAGCAAAGTAATGGTTTAGTTTATACAGTTTTGGTTTAATTTGATTGTGTAGGAAACTACTGATACATGTAATACATTGTAAATACATAGATCTACACACTCAAGTCTGTTCTTGGAACCAATCAATACATTTGTACTTAGCAATTAGTGTAAAGTTTCTTGCTCAAGGAAACAACTTTTCAAGCCTGACCGGGTTTGAATCAACATGAACAGCTCTCCTGATGTGTTTACCCCTGAGCCATCCCGCAATTTTAAATGAGTGTGTGTAGATTATAATAAAATATTTTTCCTATTTTAGGACAAGGATTTGCTGATAAAAGGAAGAAGAAGATTCAGTATGAATATATGAAAATGTTGAAGAAAGAGAAACTGAAGGAAAGACTTAAGCAAGCAATAGATAAACATGAACTTGGGCAAGGAACAAGTATTAAAGCCCCCAAACATGGTAACATAGATAAAATAAAAGAGGAACAGAAAAATGAGAAAGAAAGTGAACATTTTCCAAAGGCAAGTTCTAGTTCTAAAGATATAGAAAGAATTCAAACAAAGCCAGGAAACAGGAAGAAGGCATATGATAGAAGTAAAACAGAAGACTCAAAGGCAAAACCAGTCTGGAATACAGAAAGACACCAAAAACTGTTCAGGTAGGTTGGATTCTGGACTTTTATTTTCAAAGAATTTAGAATTTTTTATTCAGTAATTTTAATTTGTAACTTTCAATTGGGAATTTTTTCCAGTGGATATGGAAAATAATATTCTTTATTCAACTGGGAATACATGTATGACCCAATATTGGCAATAAAATAAGCCAAAAAAAAACACCTTGCTTCTGGTTAGATAAAAGTGTATATTGCTTTATTTACTGTTTCAGGAAAGGTGATAAGAAAGGGAGAGAAGTAACAACACGATTTTCTAAAGCAGCTCAGGAACATAAACAGAGAAAAGAAATGAAGATGAAAAAAATGCTGGTATTGTATATATATATATTTCCTATTTTCCTGAGTTTTTTAAAATAAAAAAATATGGAATTATTAATCAGTTGTATGTTTAATTTTTTTAGCTCACCTGGGCATTTTATGCTCAAAGGTGAGCTTGTATGATGGCATTGTGTCCCTCATTCTTTGTCATTATCCACAGCGGCTTTATCTTCTAATCCACGTGCTTGATTTTGACAAAACTTCACTGGAATGATCCTTTGGTGATCCTCTGCAAAGGTTTTGTAAATGGTTCCAGTGTGATCCTTAATAGGTCACAAGTTTAAAAAATGAAATTTTTAAAAAAATCTTCTATCTACTCTGAAACAATTATACCCAGAACATTGATATTTGATATGTAGCATCACTTTGTGGTTCTCTTCAAAAGTTATATAAGTCCATTACAAAAGTAAGATACTTTAATCCTGCCCTTGAGGCAGCTATGATAGGGTGTCATTTAGTTTATATAGACTGTATCATACACATGTATATACATATCTTGAAAATCTTCTCCTCTAAAACTTAGCATACAAAATGTAGATGTTTAGCATAAAGTGTTACCTTGGCATAAACACAGACGTACGGCACATTTTCCATGCCAATAATGGTCAAATTATCATAAAATAATCACCCCTTGATCATCAAGAACAAAATTACTATCCAGCACCTGTTTACTATATAAAAAATATACAATCATGGAATAAACTACGGCGAGTAATATACCTTGTATATGTGGTTGCTGGATAGTAATTTTGTTCTTGATGATCAAGGGGTGATTATTTTATGATAATTTGACCATTATTGGCATGGCAAATGTGCCATACACCTGTGGGCATAAAGCATTACCTTGTGGTTAAACAAACAATCAATAAGTATTAATCATTTTATGTTTCAGGACTACAGTGAAAACAGGAAGAAACGTGATGAGGCACTTGGGGCTTATCAAAAGCGGAAACAAGAAACTTTCAAAAAGATTTGTAAAAAAACTCATAAAGGACAACCTGTAATGAAAAATCAGATAGAGTACTTACTTCAGAAAATTGAAAGACAAGTAAATCAAAGATAAAAGTTGATACAGATTGTCTTTATTATTATTATCATCATGATCATTGGCAGCCTGTATAGCCTAGTGATTTATGTCGATGTATTTGAAATACTTGCCCACCACTACTGTAGTTTCATGTCCCATATGGGACATGTATTATTTCAGGCACAAGTAGGCACCTGAGTTGAACCAACGACGTGCTATAAGCTAGCTTGATAGCTTCCTCACATGACAGAATCCCAAGTCCCTTGTGGAATTTGAACCCACAGTGATGAAGGGCAAATGGTTTTTGCAGTCAGCAACATTTATAACTGGGCCACAGATTCCCCTTCATAATGTTGGTAGCCCTACCCAGGTGCCCGCTTGTGCCTGAAAAAATGCAAACGAGGTCTTCACCAGTTAAGCTGAAAAATCACCAATATAATGACCTGAATAGTGTGTAACCTTGAAGCTTTAAACCCAACGTCATTCCAACCCAAAGAATCATACGATTACCTAATTTTGCAAGTGTCTGTTTTGAAGAGGACATCACAATAACTTGGTTGAGGTTAAAAAATCGGGTACATTGTAGTTTATTGTTTGTTTCACTACCAATCTAAACCTGACAGGTTGCTAAAAGAACATACAGGTTTTTTAATCTTTATTCTGCTGAATTGGTGTAATGGATTTACCCTGCTTAGAATTTGGAACAGTCCTCTCACAGTAAAAGGGATTTTAATATCAAAATTCAAAAGATGAGACTTCTATGAAACATCTTGCTGGCTCTATACAGGTTGCGAACAGGGTGAAGGTATAAGCATATACAAAATTACATACAGTTACACAACTGTTTATTTCTTCATACAAAAATACAATCATACAAAGTGTATATGAAAATCAAAAACAGATAAATCAATGCTGCTTAAATTGTGCATAGCAAAGTGTTATAATATACTCCCATTATTTTAGTTGATATATTTATTGTAAAAATTACACTGTTAAAGGGACTCAACAGAGGTCTTCAGGCATAAAAACATAAAATTTGAAAATCTTACAAATATCAAGTGAAGTACTTATAATTGAAAAATCTGCAAAGGATAACAAAGAATTGTACTCATAATTAAATAGACAAACATGTTTATTACATGCTTTTCGGTGGTTTACAGAAATATATCAGTGATATAAAACTGGTAATTTCACTGTTTAAAACAGTGAAATTACCACTTTGATAATTTCACTGTTTTGAATTTAAGCCCCTCACGTTGTTTCAGTGAAATACCAGCGTGCACAGTACTGGGTACCAACTCAATGACGTGACGTCGTTAATGACGTCACGTTGTATTATTATTTGGCGCGCTTTTTATTCAGTATTAGGTTTAATGTCTTTTTAAAACGTTTCTTTGCATGTAATAAAAAGAAAATTTGTTTAGTTTAGTGTAAGATCGAAATATATTTCACCTTGTGAACACCAAAAGTTCATATTTCACTCGTGGCTGCGCCACTCGTGAAATATACCCTTTGGTGCTCACTCGGTGAAATATATTCCGATCTTACACTAAACTAAACAAATATCCTCTATATAATACTTCTCTTATAAAACAAATCAAAAAGAAGTAATGTTGTGATAATGATAACTTTTGAAATACAACAAAATTTGTTGATATTTTGAAATTTCTCAGCATATTTTACCATTGATGTCATTTATACAAATGAGAACTGCTGAAATCATCACCAAAACAATGTACATGTATTAATTTTGTGTTCCGGAAATACTTTTATAATATACACAATTTATTCACTTGTTCATGTTTTGTGAAAATAGGAAACGAAATAGGAAAGATTGTATCATATTATATATATATTGGATAGTATCATATCTTATGTATTGGATTGTATCATATCTTATGTATTGGATAGTATCATATCATATATATTGGATAGTATCATATCATATATATTGGGTGGTATCATATCTTATACATATCTAATATATCCGATTGTATCCTATCTTATATATTGGATTGTATCATATATTGGATAGTATCATATCATATATATTGGATAGTATCATATCATATATATTGGGTGGTATCATATCTTATACATATCTAATATATCCGATTGTATCCTATCTTATATATTGGATTGTATCATATCTTATATATTGGATAGTATCATACCTTGTATGTCGGATCGTATCATATCTTGTATTTTGGATGGTATCATATCTCGTATATTGGATAGTATCATATCTTATATATTGGATAGTATTATATCATATATATTGGATGGTATCATATTTATCTTATACATATCTTATATATTGGATAGTATCATACCTTGTATGTCAGATCGTATCATATCTTGTATATTGGATGGTATCATATCTCATATATTGGATAGTATCATATCTTATATATTGGACGGTATAATATCTTATATATTGGATGGTATCTTTTATTGTGATTTGTTGGTCAGCATAAAACCGAATGTACATGGAGATCGGAGATATTTCATGTTACATAATGAATCATACATGGTACTGAAACTTCTTAACTTCTTCTATTACATGTAGTTATTTGGCCATCAGTTTTTTTTAGATTTTGATAAAGTCTGCGCGCAGGGTCTTTAAATTATAAAGACATTGGTCTGTTTAAAGGCACATGATGTCTCAGAAAAGAATAAATATTTACTTCTTTCGGAATGGCAAACATGAATTATATAACGCTTAAATAATGGTTTTAGAGCCAGGTAGATGCTGCAGTTATTACCTGAAGAAAGATGCACTAAATGTGAAATAATTTGTTATAAAGGTAGCAAAATGTAAACAAAGTAGTATTTTGACTCCCATACAAAATGCAGAATCACTCTAACTGTACTAAATGCCTAAAAGCATTAGGAGGAAAAGATGAGATGGTTCACGTAATCGCCTAATAAGTAACTTTTGGGAAACTTCAAAATTATAAAATAAAAAGCTTTTGAGAAATGAAAATAGTATTTTCTTGGACATAATGGGCCTTTCAGTACAACCCCCATTTATAGTGCAAAAGTGTTTTCTAGTGGTTAAATGTATTTATTTTTTTAGTGCAAAATCTCATAAAGCTAATTCCTATCAGAATCCATTCTGCTCTGGACGCCACACTTCAAATAAACAATATCTGGCACTAAGGTGAAGGAAATAATTAAAGGATGTTTACAAGTTATGTAAGAAGAATTCATTCAAATTTGTTCACCTAAGAATTAAATATATTGAATTTGCGAATTGATTTTGTTCATTTGGTATTGAAAGTTGTTCAAATTATGCGCGGGTGTCTTTGTGTCTAACTTGAATTCTTTTATCTTTGTAACTGAGTCTTAATTGTTGAGATGTTTTTATTTTTATTTCCTGATTTTGCAATTTATATAACAAAGCAGATAAACTTTTATATGTTAGGCATATCTCTCCATTGGCTAAAGATTTGCACGAAATGCATTAATCTTATTTCGGAATATTATTACTGTAACTACGGATCTGTGTAATATAAATCCGTGCTGTAACTCGTTACTATAGAGATGTCCATGCATGGATAAGTTTCGGAAAAAAAACAGATGAAACGTTTGTAAAGGATACTTTTCTTTAAAAGAAGGTACATCTATTTTGAACGTCTTGAAGTGTAATCCGTTTTCAGTAACATCTCTGCCGAACGATTCAATGGATAGCACGTTACTCTCACAATCCCCCTGTCAATACATATTATTATTAATATATATAAAGAGGTAGTGTCGAACACTTTATACGTTTTTCAGGCACTTTGTGTCTGTACATATTGAATGTTTGATACAAGTTTCAGTTCAAATATTTATATTTCGCTCAATCGAATTTCCGTTCAAATATTTATATTTCGCTAAATCCAAGTTTCAGTTTAGATATTTTTATATTTCGCTAAATCTTGAGTACAATATATTTTCTAAAACCTGGCCAATCACTGATTCTCGTCCTGTTATTTTTTTAACTGAACTGAAGTACATGTGATAGTTATTTCAACAATGTCAGTGCGTAATATTATTACATTTTGTCAACCCCTAACCTATTCTACCCATGCGTCTAGTGCAGAAGAAGATCACCCGGCACAGCCGTGCCATCACCCCATGGTGCAATCTCCCATGCAGTGATCTCCCCTTATAGGATGCGTAACCGATGCGTAGCGTTTGTCCATGGTGTGCACTGTTTTCTATTCACAGTCTGTATAAATTTTAAAATTTTCCTTTAAGTTTTGACCACTCTTATGGACACTATAAGGAACTGAAAAGTTGATAACACTTAATATTACTCAAAATTTACCGTACAAGGTGGCCAGGTAATGCACTAAGGTGGTCATATTTTAAAATGCTGAATGGTTTTGTCCATTTTAAAAAATGACAAGTCATCCAAGAAGTTTTACTTACTCTTGATAGATATTTACCACCAACATTCAGTACTTTCATTGAGAATTTGAGGATAACCGCTGTTGTTGTGAAGTCGTTGTCATGACCTGTAGTACAGAAACATTATTGGCTTGGTTAACAAGATATATTGATATGTGCCCATTTGAATAATTTTAGGTACAATATTTCGAAATGAATCGCGCTTAAATGCATTACATTTGCGGTTAACGATTTTTTTTGCTTTTGTTACGGAAGAGGAATTGTCTTCCTTTTAATGCCCCCGCAGGGAGGTATAATATACCGTAATCGCACGGTGTGTCTGTCCGTCTGTCCCACTTCATTCGTGTCCGGACTGTAACTTTGTCATACATTGAGGGATTTTGAAATAACTTGGAAATGTCTACCACATCAAGACGATATCCAAGAACCACGTCCCTACCTCAAAGGTCAAGGTCACACTATCAATTTGAAGATTCACATTATCGCAATTAGAGTAAATAGGTACACACATTCGTGTCCGGACTGTAACTTTGTTATGCATGTAAGGATTTTAAAATAACTAGGCATAAATATCTACCTACAACATCAAGACAATGTGGATGTCCAATAATCACGTCCCTACCTCAAAGGTCAAGGTCATGCTACCGTTTTGAAGTTCACTTTATCACCATTAGACTTTATAGGTACACACATTCGTGTCCGGACTGTTACTTTGTCATGCATCGAAGGATTTTAAAATAACTAGGCATAAATGTCGACAACATCAAGACGACGTGTCGCGACAAAGACCCATGTCCCTACCTTCAAGGTTAAGGTCACACTTATAGTTTGAAGGTGCTCATTCTCTCGAGAAGAGTTTGAAGATAAATATTCATGTCCGGACTGTAACTTTGTCATGCATGGAAGGATTTTAAAATAACTTGGCACAAATGTCTACCGCATCAAGACAACGTGTCGGGACTAAGGCATATGTCCGTCTGTCCGTGTGTCCCCACTTACCGACAATCATTCCAGACCGTAACTTTGTCATGCGTTGAGGGATTTTGAAATGATTTGGCACAAATGTCTATCTCATAACAGCATTTTGTCGCGTCCAGGAACAACGTCCCTTCTTCAAAGGTCAAGGTCACACTTATATTTTGAAGGTTCATGCTATCACAATTAGAGATTACAGGTACAATAATACAAATAACAATATGCAGCAATTAGTTACTTTCATTCTCTTTTCTTTTCATAATACCTGCATGCTTAAGAAACCTTTTTGAGGGCATTCGTCACTTGCGTGAAAGCTCTTGTTATCACATATATGTACAAATATATATTGTTTATAACCCGTCCCTTTCGGAACATTAAAACCCGTCTTCCCAAGGGAGCATGCAAACGTTTCCAAGTTTTTCATGTACTTACCCTTTTCTGTATCAATAAGATATTCGGATAAATCGTTGATGACGTAATCAAACTTTTGATTTTCCTCGGCGAGTTCTTTCAGCACATTCACACAATTTTCTATACGGATCTAGAAGAAACAACATTAAACCATTGACTTGTTTAAACATTCCTTTTTCAGATATTTATAAAATAATACACAAACGGAACATAAAATTAGCAGGGAAAAAAAGAAACAAAACAAACAAAATGCAGATGCACCATTATGAGAATAGATACAACGTACGATTGACTCCGGATAACTGTAATATCAAGTTTAACCCTAAATTAATCTGATGCATTTGTTAGCAGTCCATTCAAAGTTAGAGGAATTTCAATAATCATAATATCAAAATAAAGAGTTATTAACTGTTAGAACCTTGCCAAACTGATTCCATACTGGCGGCAAAGGCTAATCACCCTTGGTTCCAACATGTTATGGGCTAAAAATCAGAAGTAAGTTAGAGATTTGTCATACTTTTGACACTATACTGTAAAGAGAACTAACCGTTGTCAAATTCCTGGCACTGATTGCCTCCCCTGAGTAGCAAAGCGCAATGTAACCTGCGCGAGACACTCGATTTATTCATAAAATGATAAAAAAAATATTACTGCTATATTCATAGTTTGAGTGGTATATGAAAGATATATTTTAGTTATACATGCCCATGTACATTTCTTTATCATAATAATTTACAATTAACAAATTGTAATTAATTAATTGCTTTGAATTCCATTGGGGTTTAGTGTTATCCTTAGCCTGATTAGAGTGAAAAGAGTTGTAACGCTTTCCAATTTTGGGTCTCTTTTTGACAATAGAAATAATAATTTTGGAAAAAACGGAGTGAATATATGATCTGAAATTTTGCATACAATTCAATAAAGATTACATTGAGTATTCTTAATTTTTATACATCTCGAAGCACTTATGAATATTTGTATAAGTCTTCATAACTTAGAATAAAACAGTGATAGATATAGATAATATCTCACTCATGAATTCGAATAAAAGTTTCAATTATATAATTTTTTCAGGATGTTTTCCCCTTTAAGAATAAATATCATAAAGTTTTGAATTTCCGTTGAGAAGAGAAGTTAGGATTTATATTTCGTCGGCTGAATATAAATTTTAATTGAATGTGTAGATGAGTAAAAGTTAGTGTAGCATTCAAATTTTTAAAACTTACCTTGTAATTATGACCATCTAGATTGTCAAGTGAATCTCCGCACACACCACGTAAATGTTTGCGACATGCGTTGATGACTTCTATATCTATTTATGACAGATTAAGGATTTTTATATTACAGCCATGGTTTTTCTTTTTTAAAATAATAAATAGAAAAATGTTGTGTTTGCCTTTAACATTTCAACCAATCGCATCGTCTCGGCCTTAGCAGTCGGTAAAATTTTGAAGTAAAACTTATTAAGATACAATGCAAATCTAAATGTGTGAAGGGTACTCATTTCTTGAATTCATACAACTTAAAACTAGGTATACAGGACAGGACATGTTCTATCTTTTAACACTTGTTGTATAGACTTCTGGCGATGACAGATGACAATACTCACGAAGATAAAATATTTTTTCACCGTGAGACCAAAATACAAAACTGGCTTTATTGTGCTCAATTATTCCATTCATTCAGGTACATGGACAATTTCTGAATTCTTCCTCCATGCTATACACTGCCTACTTTTTAATCAGTCTTCTTAATTGGTCAATTCCAACAATTATTACATTTACACATAGTCGAGTAATAATGTGAGTAAATTCTGTAAAAAAAAAACAATTCGGAACTGTTTTGGAGGGAAGCCTGATGATTCATACCATACATAATTACGGTCTCAATGCAAGTGTTGTATTGCTTTAAAAAGTGTACATCATATCTTAAACTAAATACCGTCTACTTGAAGTTCCATGACAAATATTACGTTCAAGTTGAACATTTAAAAAAACACACACACAGTCTGTGTGCACATAAAACAAAGGATATTTCCACCATTAGGACATATTGTGGTGACATTTTTAGAAGTTCATGAAGAAGACCACCGTCTCCACCTCCTAGGATTAGAATAGTTTTACCTTTATACACGTTTCTGTTGACGCCAAGTAACGTCAACGTGTAGATTTCGTCTGATTCTGCTATCACTGCAAAGAAAGGAATAATATACACACAGAGTTACATAACCTATCGCAAATCTCTAATGAAACCAGTCATAATAACGAAATAATATACATGTGAACAGGGATTGCAACAAAATACAAACAAGAAATGTTGAACGACACATATGCCCCCCCTTTCTAGCCATTGACTCACATTATTGGTAATTTTGTTATAGAAACTTGCCATAAATGGGTACATGGAAGTGTTCAATTATGGAAAAAGAAAACTAATGAAGAATTTGTGATAAATAGTTTTTCAAGATATGAGATAATGAGGCCCCTGTGACCTCGACCTTTGAACAAGTGACCCAAAATCATTAGGGCTTATCTAATAGTTATGACCAATCAATATTGAAAATATGAAGACTTTGTAATGAATACTTTTGAAGATAATCAGCGGAAACCATTCTGGCATTCAAGACCCTTTGACCTAGTGACCCAAAATCAATAGGGGTCATCTACTAGTTATGAACAATCAATATGTGAAATATGAAGACTTTCTGATGAATTGTAACCAATATAATGAGCGGAAACCATTCTAACATTTAAGGCCACTGTGACCTTGACTTTTGGCCTAATGACCCCAAAATTGATATTGGTCATCTACTAGTTATGACCAATTAATTTGTGAAACATGAAGGCTTTGTGATGAATACTTTTGAAAATAATTAGCGGAAACTATGCGAACATTTAAGGCCACTGTGACCTTGACCTTTGACCAAGTGACCCTAAAGTCAATAGGAGTCATCTACTAGTTATGACCAATCAATATTGAAATATGGCGACTTTGTGATGAACACTTTTCAAGATACCTAGCGGAATCCATTTTGACATTAAAGGCCCCTGTGACCTTGACCTTTGACCTAGTGACCCCAACATTAATAGGGGTCATCTACTAGTTATAACCAATCAATATGTGAAATACGTAGACTTTGTGATGAACACTTTTCAAGATAATCAGCGGAAACCATGTGGTCTACCGACGGACAGACAACGCGCCGTTTGGCGTGCCGCGCTAGAGACAGGTTGACAAAACGACAGCCCGACAACACGCCGTTTAGCGCTTTGTCGTGTTGTCGCTAACACCAACTTGACACAATAAAGCGTACCAAATCTGCCACCATAAGATCGTGATCAGTTTCGGCACCGGTGGGCTGATCTTGGTCTGCACTGGTCGCATGGGTAAAATTGTTGCCACCAGGAAACAAAGTTTAAAGGAAAACCAGGAGAATATCTATGTCTGTAAAGTGTCAACCTATAAACTAAGTAGCTGGTACATGAGCTTAATATTAATGTAAACTCATTCAAAAATCGTGCCGTTGTTTATAAATTCGTTACTTTTTCTAAATAGTTTGACACAAACTCTCATTTTGCAACAGCTCTTGCTTATTTTTACATTTTCTAACTCCTCTGACACTCCTTTCATATATTTGTGTTTTGGTAAAAGATTACTGTACGGTGTCGTACTTTGAGAAATTTACACACCTACATTCAGTATTTTTGCATGAAAACTATAAGCATATTCATTTTTACTTGAATTTTTACATACTGGTTTCACGTTTATTGACGTTTTGCATGTTTTGCTGGTCTCTTTATTCCTTTTATTTATTTGATATGATTTGAATAAACCAACCTAGCTTATTTACACATTTAGATACAAACCTTTACTTAAGTCCAACTTATTTCACGTGTTTTTGACAGAAACCCCCTGTAAATTCTCATATTTTGACATAAGTCGCCATGTATTTCATGTGTTTTTGACATAACCACTTGTAATTTTTCATATTTTGACATAAGTCGTCATGTATTCCACGTGTTTTTGACATAAACCCCTGTAAATTCTCGAATTTTGACATAAGTCGCCATGTATTTTATGTGTTTTTGACATAACCACTTGTAATTTCTCATATTTTGACATATGTCGTCTTGTATTTCACGTGTTTTTGACATAAACCCCTGTAAATTCTCGAATTTTGACAAAAGTCGTCATGTATTTCATGTGTTTTTGACTCACTTATATCGTCATCAAGACAGAGCATGTTCCCACAATCCGGTGTTTTGTATATCTTTATATTCTGCCAGGGCGAGTTTACTTCTGTCACAAGCTGCGTTGTTTGATAAACCTCCCATAGCCTATCATCCCCCAGTTGGAAATATGGACAAATCTTTCCTCTCTTTATCGCGGACGGAACGCTATGGATAGAAGTGACAAATTTTGATTTAATCTCAAAATATGCGTTTGAAATTAGGCATATACGAGTCGTACATGTATTTTATTAATTAATCAGTTTAATGTTTAATACAAGTTAAATATTAAGGAGGACAGACGTTGCAGTGTTAGTTTTTCTAGCTAACCCATTCAACTGAAATAGATGTCCGTGGGCATTGTGTAGCGTAAACTTTCTCTACTTGGCGGTTATAATTATGATGGAATTTTTAGATATATACAAGATTCCTTTTTATAAAACTGACGTTACATACTTGCACTATCATAAAGATTACTATAACCATAAATAAGGTCAATAGTTACCTTCGTGTATATAGGCATTTCTTTCCAAGTAAAGTCTGTATTTCGGACTCTATACCTTTGTTTTTCTAAAAATAAATGTGCAATAGATGATGTGTTTTTGTATAAAAATAATAACAATATTAAATCAAAAATGATAGTTAAATGTTTGATATAGATCTAGCAGTATTTGATATAACAACTTTTAATAAAATCATATACAACTTTATGCCTATATTCGACAGTAGATCTACTAAATATAAATTCTACAATTAAAACGTCAAAATGTATAACTTTAGGGAAAACACAATAACTGCATGATTTAAAAATTAAAGCATTTGTAGGTTAATTTAGTTACATGGACATAAAGAACAAAATAAACTTACCGAGAAGGCAATATAGCTCAGTTTCTGTTTGGCATCATCGGAAGTGATGTCATATTGAATATCAATAGTGACAAGGCCATGACTGTACACGTGCATCACACAGTGACTGATAAAATATGAAACTATAAATAAACTATAATTCTTATGTACACAATGGCCGTTATTATAAAATATAATAAATCGCATAATATATAATAAAATATGGTAGTTCTGTAAGCGCCAATTAACAAATATGGTAAAACATTGATTCTAGCTTACCTGTCACAAAATGCCAGAGTGACTTTGGTCTACATCTAATAGTTTATATTCCATTGCACGATGTAAGCCTACATCCGGTCACATATGTCTTCGTCAAAGCCTTTATTTTTTGGCCGATATTTAAACCATTTAGTGAACATTTATAATGCACGTTACATGAATCCCTACAATTAAACATGGAGACTGTCATGGCCACCATGACTTTTAAATAGAATTTTCTACTTTTCCATCATTACGCCTCCATTTGATTTCGTATCTTGATACGGTACATGTGTTGTACCTTTTTAATTTTCTTGTTGCATTTAGGTCATTGCGGTAAATGTCTAGGCCATCGATGCTAAAAATAGATTTATCGTTTCCACTCACATATGCATTAGTTAAAAGCACTTGCATACTTTATAGAGGGCCAAAACCGCAATTATTATTGGCAATACTTAAAATCTGAGTAACCATTAATTTGATGCGAGGGATGACGTCTCACTATATAATGACGTCAGGAAAGAACATTGTAAAGAAATGATATTAGAAAAGAAGTTTTTTCAAACCTTCCATCGTCGCCTGTGGCAACCAACATTTTATTTCCATTTGGAACATTTACGAGCACTGGGGTTGTCTGCGAGTCTATTACTGAACATGGTATTGTTTGTATTTTGTTCCATAGACCTGCAAATATAAAAATGGCAGGTGTTATGTATGTAACTCTTCTTTGGGCATGCTCGTATTGACCAAGCAAACAAGAAAAGTAACATACGGCACAAAAATGTCTCATTTTAGCTTTTTTTTTTTCGTTATGTTTTCAATACTTTAGTAAATTATTCGGGTTGAGATAAAAAAAGCGATACAAACGACGATAAAATAGAGAGAAAAAACGCAATCCCTTAAGAACGCACAAAACGGCTTAATTGAAAATTTTGCATGCTCGGTTTGATTTAGCCTGTATATGAAATGTACTTGAAAGTGCAAGCAACCGTCCACGTCCCATAGCTTAAGCGTAATTCAACAATGAAAAACGAAAATGCTGAAATTTTAAATTTAGAAATATCCGCAGATTTGTTGATACGGCGGTTATCATGGAAGCTTTAATTTCAGTCATGAAAAGCGGCGTATGGTCCCCAAGTAAAAGAATGTGTGTGTCCAAAACGAGAAAACAATAGGTGGGAAAAAATCAATGGAGTTTTGAAAAGGGGATCCGAGGTTATAAAGCTTACATATCATGGATAAAAAGATGAAAAAGCAGACGTGATTTTATAGCATTCAAGTTTAAATAATGAACCCACCCGTCAAAAAAATCAAATAAAATACTCCATTATATATTATATCGCTTGATTTGTCAAGTGCAAACTGGCCAAGTTAGGGGAAATAATGTTAACAGGTCCATCGTGAATTTACGGTACCCTGGGTTTTAATATATATGATATAAAAAGTTTATCGCCCTATGTTAAGCAAATCATGATAATAGAATAAAATAAGAGGACTGAGAGTGATCCCCTATTAGCATGGGTGCTCGTGCATGATTTCTACATTTTGAAAATAGATCTACCTTTCATATAATGCTTATTCATAGGAGAAACCAAGTTTTCGCAGTGAGCAATCAACAGTGAATGATATGAAGTGAACTCTCACTAATCTGATCTAGTATACTATGATTGAGGGCAAGTAGGTATGTAAATTTACAAGGAAAATGTTAATGAATAGAGTAAATATAAATGTAGAATTCCCAAATTAGCAAAGAAACTTCTTTATTACATGCTTTTCGGTGGTTTATAGAAATATATCAGTGATATAAAACTGGTAATTTCACTGTTTGAAACAGTGAAATTACCACTTTGATAATTTCACTGTTTTGAATTTAAGCCCCTTACGTTGTTTCAGTGAAATACCAGCGTACACAGTACTGGGTACCAACGTAATGATGTGACGTCGTAAATGACGTCACGTTGTATTATTATTTGGCGCGCTTTTCATTCAGTATTAGGTTTAATGTCTTTTTAAAACGTTTCTTTGCATGTAATAAAAAGAAAATTTGTTTAGTTTAGTGTAAGATCGAGGTATATTTCACCTTGTGAACACAAAAAGTTCATATTTCACTCGTGACTGCGCCACTCGTGAAATATACCTTTTGGTGCTCACTCGGTGAAATATATTCCGATCTTACACTGAAATAAACAAATATCCTCTAAAACATGATAAATTGAGAGTATCTCTGCAACTTATACGACACTATAGAGGATATTCAAGGGTATTCAATCATAATATATATATGATTTATTTTCACTGAGTAGCATGAAATGAGTGGAAATATGATAATTTTTATACCACAAGGTGAAAATAATTCATGTATTTATAACTTTAATTTTCTGTTTATTATTTACATTTTTCTCTTTTTTTTTTAAACATTACAATTTTAAAGACTTTCCTTTGAATTTTGTGTATTAGCTGAAGTTAGAAGATAAGAACATGGCAAGACACCAGTGAAAATATTAAAGATATGTTTCACTGCAGTGAAAAATAAATTCTTACAGTGAAAATACAGAAAAAGGAAATATGCCATCAATATTTCACTTATAAGTGTATAATAAAGTGTTGTTGTTTAATTTGAGTATTTTGGCCTACGCTATTAAGCATTTTTGCACTGCGAAGAACGTTATTAAAAAAAAAAGGGAATGATTGATCTCCCAGAACGCAGACACCAATTTGAATTTTAAATAATCGAGAAGTCAAAGAAGGCCGTGAAAATCATAAGTCTCATTTACGACTTAAACATTTATGATAAAAAACTATTGGTTTTGTTTGTTTGTTTGTTTGTTTAATTTTACGCCTTTTCCCAACAGTATTTCAGTCATATAGGCGGGTAGTTTCCTAACCATCGTTCCTGAAGAGTTACACCAATACTAGACTACCTTCAATCATAAACATCAAGTTATTGACAGTATGTAGACTAACGAATATCAAGTTAATAATTTCACTTATTCCCAGAAAGGAGTACAAAAATTGATTAAGTGATGAAATATTTAGCACAAACTATCCACTATAACACTCGAGAGAGAGAAGTGATCGGCGTGAATCAATACATGTTTCCTAACTTTCAACATATATATTAGCCTTTACTCTAACATTAGATGTATGCATTACTAATACATTTACATTGTACACTGTCAATATATCATCATTTCATCAAATTTTAATAATTATTTTAAAACTTCAATGGAAATAATAGTTTCTCTTTTTTTTTTTCTTTTTTTTTTTTTTTTTTTTTTTTTATCTTTGGAGCTGGTACCGGGCATGTCAAGGTTTATTTATTCTCATGTATGTCATACCTTTTGTTTTAAATGTCTATACATAAATGTATTTAATACCGAAATAAATCTGTCTATCTAATACATTTATTTACTTTATTGCACATTCGTCATTTTCCGCGTCCTCAGTTTTTGCTACTTAAGTAAAATACGTTTTTATCAGATTTAAGAAGTTGTATACATGGGAAATGATGTGAGATATTATTTCATGTTTACTGAATACATAGCTGCCTGATCAGTCTCTAAAACATAAGTGTCATAGTTATAAATTTACACTTCGGTCAGTGTCTATTGTGTATTACATATACATTTTATATTATTTTTAATACAATATTGTAATAAAAGGAGAAAGTGATCTACGAAAAGAATTTGTGATTTAGAGCTAGCTTCTTAATTAAGCTAACAATTGGCCACGTATAATTTTGAATGCAAAATATTCAGAAATCTGTTTGCGTTTTTTCTCTTTTTTTCAAATTTTCTAATTGACTTTGACAAAACATTTATTCTCTTAGATAGGTTGTTAATTTACGTATTTCGTTTGTCATTACAGCCTAGCCAGTATATTCTTTCTACAGAACTATAAAAATGACAAATTAACTACAAAAATCTTACCTTTTTCCACAATAGGATTTCCCGCAACTTGGAAACACAAATGTAAAGAAAATGCATCCATATTTAGCTTGTAATATAGAACTATTGGAAACTGCAGTAGTCAATTTCATACACATCGGCTCCTTTGCATACACTCTAGTAACGTTATTGGCAAAGACACATGTACATCACGACTGTTTATAACTTTTTATATTGCCTCGTTAAATATAAGTCATATACCACTATTCATTCAACCGATTTGATTTGAAAAGCATCCAGTTTACCATAAAATTATCATGATAAAATATATGATTGAACAGTCCAGTTAACTTTATTTGATATTTACTCGTGTATATCAAAACATTAAAAATCAATTCACCACAATTTTTTCATGTATTGTATGAATTTATTTTGTCAATAATCCAATATTTACTCGTGTATATCAAAACATATTTCATATTTATAAAACATACATCAAAACATATTTCATGTATTGTATGAATTTATTTTCATGTATTGTATGAATTTATTTTGTCAATAATCCAATATTTACTCGTGTATATCAATAAATATGTATGTATATCATGTATTGTATGAATTTATTTTGTCAATAATCCAATATTTACTCGTGTATATCAAAACATTAAAAATCAATTCACCACAATTTTTTCATGTATTGTATGAATTTATTTTGTCAATAATCCAATATTAATCGATTTGATTTTAATAAACAAAATTCTTCTAATATTCAAACAATGACCGTCATTTTCAGTTAATGACCAATTTATCAGATACCGGAATATTAAAAAAAAAAACACAAAATTATTTTCATAAGTGTTTGCTTTTATATATTGTTTCCCAATTTATTCAGCAAAGATACCTGAATTTATATTGAACTAAATATGAGTGCTCCCTCTTCTCTATTTTGTCATATTTAGCATTACCAAACAATACCAAATGTCATTTTATAATATGAATCATTTATTGTTTGCTCGCTGTGAGGCCCTATCTCAAAGAGATTTATGATATAAATCATTTACTATTCATTGTCCTCCGTGGGGCCTCACTCTCAAATTTATCTAGCTGCAAGTCTGATCAACAGTGGGATTTAAGAATGAAACTGTGTTCCATATGGGGGAGAGGCGGCGACGAAAAAAGAACAACAGTCACAATTATATACAACAATTAACTCAAATATTCAATAATTTTATATTTATATACAAATTTGTCTTCAGTTAAAAGATACGCTACCAAAACAAACACACAAAAAAAAACAAGAACAAAAAACAAAACAATAAAAAAAACGTGAGATTTGTATCTCATATTGTAACACCTATATTTTATGTCTAAAGTGGTAATCAAAAGAAAAGCACTTTATTTTGTGTTGATTTGATTTGATTAAATCAAACTGATTTGCATTGATTTGAGTTGATTAAGATAATTTTGATTTGATTTGCATGGGTTTGATTTACATAGATACTTTAAGTACTTTTAGAATGTTCAGGACAAAAATCCTTCCAAACTGGATAATAATTTTTAAACAGGTTAATATATTTACAGAAAAAATTTGATCTATATTATCAGTGAATTTTAACATATTTTTTTCCTTTTTTTCCTTACTTTTCTGTTTCACAGTAAATATTATATAGCGAACTTTCAGCTTTTCTGTTCGAGGAAGACCTCAGGTGCCCCTCCGTAAGGACACTTGATTAATACCATACAACTGAGTATTAAACTATACTTTATTTAACAACTTAAAGACCGTAGCGGTTTCTGAGTGGCGGTGTTTGTGCTGGAGTTAGTTGACATTGTCAAACTCCGACATTGAAACACTAAACAGTAAAATAATCTCAGCATAAAATATATTTCATTTCTATTTGTGATTCGCTAGTTGGGTAGCTTCCTTTCATGACAGAATCCCAAGTCCATTGTGGAATTTGAACCAACACTGATGAGGGGCAAGTGGTTTTTGCAGTCAGCAACATTTATAACTCGGCCACAGATTCCTCTTCATATGATGGGGACGGAATGTTGGTAGCCCTACCCAGGTGCCGGCTTGTGCCTGACATAATGCAAATGAGGGATTCACCAGTAAAGATGAAAAATCATCATATGACCTGAATAGTGTGTGGCCTAGAAGTTTTAAAACCCAACCTCAAAGGAATCATATGATTATATAATTAGCCATGCCTGATTTGAAGACATCCCAGTAAGGTTTGGAAAATAGGGTACTGTGGTATTTATTGTTTGTTTCACTAATCTAAACCTGGCAGGTTGCTAAAAGAACACAGGTTTTTTAATCTTTAACCTGCTGAATTGGTGTAATGGATTTGCCCTGAATTTGGAACAGTCCACTCACAGTAAGAGGAAAATTTAATATTAAAATTCAAAACTTTAGAGCTCTATGAAACATCTTGCTGGCTCTATACAGGTTGCCAAGGTTAATCACATTTTTCGTGCGAACAGGGTGAAAGTATAAGCATATACAAAGGTTATTGTAAAAAGTACATATAGTTAAAACAAGGTTTTACTTTACTGTTTATTTTTTATATAAAAATACAATGATACAAATTGCATATGAATATTACAAAATGATAAATCAATGCTGCTTAAATTGTGCATAGCAAAGTGTTATTATATACTCCCATTATTTTAGTTGATATATTCATAGGCATAAAAGCATAAAATTTGAAAATCTTACAAATATCAAGTGAAGCACTTATAATGGAAACATTTGCAAAGGATAACAAAGAAATATACTCAGATTTAAATTGAAAATCTTTATGTATGCGTTTCTTAATCAACATGTTGTGAAAGGCGTTGCAACACCTTTTATTTTTGGGCCATTTTTTACAATGAAAATATTATTCTGGAGAAACAGGGTGAGGAAATGAACTGCATACAAGTTATTGGATAAGATCTAAATCAATTGGTACATAAATTTCAGAAAAATATTTTACATGCTGTCATGTAAAAACAACCCTCAGTGGAGTCCCTTTAAGGACTTCAATGAATCAAAATATTTTCTAAATTAGATGAATTAAACCTTTAAATTTAGAGTAGATATTACCTGAGGTTTCTTAGAATTTTCTGTTTGTATGAAAAATAATTATTATGAAATATGCAATGTGAAGTGAAATAGATTGACTGTTTCTTAAATAAAGTATATGATATTATAAAATATTCAATCAAAATGCTATAAAATGATAAAATTTCTATAAGTAAACATTTACCTTTGTTTTTTACTAGGTAGTGAGAAAGGAGTGTTATATATTGGATAGTATCATATCTTATATATATAATTGTATCATATCTTATGTATTGGATTGTATCATATCTTATATATTGGGTAGTATCATATCATATATATATTGGATGGTATCATATCTTATACATATCTTATATATCGGATTGTATCCTATCTTATATATTGGATTGTACCATATCTTATATATTGGATAGTATCATACCTTGTATGTCGGATCGTATCATATCTTGTATTTTGGATGGTATCATATCTCATATATTGGATAGTATCATAGCTTATATATTGGATGGTATCATATCTTGTATATTGGATGGTATCATATCTCATATATTGGATAGTATCATATCTTATATATTGGACGGTATAATATCTTATATATTGGATGGTATCTTTTATCGTGATTTGTTGGTCTGCATGAAACCAAGTGTACATGGAGATCGGAGATATTTTTTATGTTACATAATCATAATGAATCATACATGGTACTGAAACCTCTTTACTTTCTATTACATGTAGTTATTTGGCCATAAGTATATTTGAGGTTTTTATAAAGTCTGCGCGCAGGGTCTTTAAATTATAAAGACATTGGTCTGTTTAAAGGCAAATTATGTCTTAGAAAAGAATAAATATTTACTTCTTTCGGAATGGCAAACATGAATTATATAACGCTTAAATGGTCTTAGAGCCAGGTAGATGCTGCAGTTATTACCTGAAGAAAGTAGCACTAAATGTGAAATAATTTGTAATAAAAGGAGCAAAATGTAAACAAAGAAGTATTTTGAGTCCCATACAAAATGCAGAATCACTATAACTACTAAATGCCTAAAAGCATTAGGAGGAATAGATGGTTCACGTAATCGCCTAATGAGTAACTTTTTGGGAACTTCAAAATTATAAAATAAAAAGCTTTTGAGAAATAAAAATAGTCTTTTCTTGGACATAATGGGCCTTTCAGTACAACCCCTTTTATAGTGCAAAAGTGTTTTCTAGTGGTTAAAATGTATTTATTTTTTTAGTGCAAAATCTCATAAAGCTAATTCCAATCAGAATCAATTCTGCTATGCACGCCACACTTCAAATAAACAATATCTGGCACTAAGGTGAAGGAAATAACTAAAGAATGTTTACAAGTCATGTAAGAAGAATTTATTCAAATTTGTTCACCTATGAATTAAATAGAATTGAATTTGCGAATTTATTTTGTTCGTTTGGTATTGAAAGTTGTTAAAATTATGCGCGGATAATTCTGTGTCTAACTTGAATTCTATAATCTTTGTAACCGAGTATTAATTGTTGAGATCTTTTTATTTTTATTTCCTGATTTTACAATATAAAGTTTTTATTTTTATTTCCTGATTTTAAAATATAAAGTTTTTATTTTTATTTCCAATTATTTTACAATTGATATAACAAAGCGGATTGAAGTTTAAATGTTAGGTATATCTCTCAATTGGCTAAAGATTTGCACGAAATGCGCATGGATTAATCTTTCATCTTATTTTGGAATTTTATTACTGTAACCACAAATCTTAATTACAAGACAGTGTAATATTAATCCGTGCTGTAACTTGTTACCGTAGAGATGTACATGTATTAATACGACATTGTAATATAACAAAGTTACGTAAAAAAACAAATAAAACGTTTGAAAAGGATACTTTTCTTTAAAAGAAGGTACATCTATTTTGAATGTCTTGAAGTTTAATCCATTTTCAGTAACATCTCTGCCGAACGATTCAATCGATGGCACGTTACTCTCACTGTCCCCCTGTCAATATATATTAGTATTAAATATGAATAAAGAAGTAGTGTCGAAAATTTTATACGTTTTTCAGGTACATTGTGTCTGTACATTTATCTGATGATATATTAAATGTGTGATACAAGTTGCCGTTCAAATATTTATATTTCGCTAAATCCTATTTTCCGTTCAAATATTTATGTTTCGCTTAATCAAAGTTTCCGTTCAAATATTTACATTTCACTAAAACCAATTTTGCGTTCAAATATTTATATTTCGCTAAATCCTATTTTCAGTTAAATTATTTATATTTCGCTAAATCCTGGCCAAGCATCGTTTCTCGTCCTTTAATTTTTTAACTGAAACTGACGTACATGTCACAGTTATTTATACAATGTCAGTGCCTTACATTATCATATTTTGCCAACCCTTAACCTATTCTACCCATGCATCTACTGCAGAACAAGATCACCCGGCAAAGCCGTGCCATCACCCCATGGTACAATCTCCCACGCAGTAATCTCCCTTTATAGGATGCGTAACCGGTGCGTAGCTTTTGCCCATGGTGTGCAATGTTTTTTACTCACAGTCTTAAAATTTTGAAAAATTCCTTTAAGGCATGACCACCCTTATGGGCACTATAAGGAACTGAAAGTTGATAACACATAATATATGCAAAATTTACCGTACGGTTTTACGCGTTATGGTGGTACTGCAATAAGATGGTCAGGTAATGCACTATGGTGGTCATACTTTAAAATGCTGAATGGTTTTGTCCATTTAAAAGAATTTGACAAGTCGTCCAAGATTATTTGGATTTACTCACTCGTGATAGATATTTACCACCAACATTCAGTACTTTCATTGAGCGTTCGAGGATAATCGCTGTTGTTGTGAAGTCGTTGTCGTGACCTAAAGAACAGACAACATTTTTAAAAACAACATTACTGGCCACTTTAACTAGAAGAAAGTTTACTGATCTGTGGCCATTTGAATGATTTTAAGGTTCAATGTTTTGAAATTAACCGCAATCATACAGTTGTTGTTTACTGATTTATCTCTTTTTTTTGCATTTGTTGTGAATTTTCCAAAACGTAAAATGTAAATAGAGATCTAGTGTGATGCAAAATAATCTTACAGCAGACGAAATGAAATTTTGTTAGATCTTAAATTTGTTGTTTGACCTATCAACCAAAACCACGAAAACTAGTGCCACACGAATAATAAGGATTTTGCAGTATTCTTTTTTATCAGATATATCCTGTTTATATTCTGTCCCATTCGGAACGTTAAAGGTCGTCCTCCCAACGAAGCAAAAGTTTCCATGTTTTTCACGTACCTACCCTTTTCTGTATCTAAAAGATATTCGGATAAATCGTTGATGACGTAATCAAACTTTTGATTTTCCTCGGCGAGTTCTTTCAGCACATTCACACAATTTTCTATACGGATCTAAAAGAACCACACAAACACAAAACCATACTGACTTGTTTAAACATTAGATAGTTATGCAATTATACACAAACGCGACACAAAATTAGCAGGAAAACAAGAGGGCCATGATGGCCCTAGATCGCTCACCTGAATTATCAAACTCATCCAAACAATTACCTAGACAAGCATTCTGACCAAGTCTCATGACAGGTGAGTCAAAAATGTGACCACTACAGTGTTGACAAGGATTATCCATATTTGAGCAGTGCGACCTAGTTTTTTACCCAGGTGACACATATTCAAACTTGACCTAGAAATCATCAAAACAAACTTTTCAGACCAATTTCTAGGATACTTGGATCAAAATAGTAGCAACTAGAGTGTTAACAAGATTTTTCTATTTTTAGCTCCGGTGACCTAGTTTCACATGCGATTTCGAACTCATCAAGCAATTACCTAGACAAACATCCTGACCAAGTTTGATGATAATTGAGTCGAAAATGTGACCACTAGAATGTTAACAAGGTTTTTCCATATTTGGGCGGTGTGACCTAGTTTTTCATCCAAGATGACCCATGTTCGATCTTGACTTAGAAATCATCAAAACAAACTTTCAGACCAATTAACAGAATATTTGGATCACAACAGTAGCCACTAGAGTGTTAACAAGATTTTTTCTATTTTTAGCTCCTGTGACCTAGTTTTTCATCCGAAATGTCCCATGTTCGATTTATTCCAGCAATGACCTAGACAAGTTTCCTGACCAAGTTTGATGACAATTGAGTCAAAATTGTGACCACTAGAGTGTTAACAAGGTTTTTTCTATTTTTAGCTCCTGTGACCTAGTTTTTCATCCGAGATGACCCATGTTCGAACTCATCCGAGCTATCACCTAGACAAGCATCTTGATCAAGTTTGATGATGATTGATGCAAAAATGTGACCGCTAAAGTGTTAACAAGGTTTTTTCTATTTTTAGCTCTGGTGACCTACTTTTTCATCCGAGATGACCCATGTTCGAACTCATCCAAGCTATCAACTAGATAAGCATCCTGACCAAGTTTGATGATGATTGATGCAAAAATGTGACCACTAGAGTGTTCACAAGGTTTTTCTATTTATAGCTCCGGTGACCTAGTTTTTCATCCGAGATGACCCATATTCGAACTCATCCGAGCTATTATCTAAACAAGCATCCTGACAAAGTTTGATGATGATTGGGTCAAAAATGTGACCACTAGAGTGTTCACAAGGTTTTTCTATTTTTAGCTCCTGTGACCTAGTTTTTTCATCAGAGATGACCCATGTTCGAACTCATCCAAGCAATTGACTAGACAAGCATTCTGACCAAGTTTGATGATGATTGGTTCAAAAATGTGACCACTAGAGTGTTCACAAGGTTTTTTATTTATAGCTCCTGTGACCTACTTTTCATCCGAGATGACCCATGTTCGAAACTCATCCAAGCTATCACCTAGACAAACATCCTGACCAAGTTTGATGATGATTGGGTCAAAAATGTGACCTCTAGAGTGTTCACAAGGTTTTTCTATTTTTAGCTCTTGTGACCTAGTTTTTCATCCGAGATGACCCATGTTCGAACTCATTCCGAGCTTTCAACTAGATAAGCATCCTGACCAAGTTTGATGATGATTGAGGCAAAAATGCGACCGCTAGAGTGTTCACAAGCAATTGTGGACGGCCGGACGGACGACGGACGACGGACGACGGACGACGGACATTCACCGATCCTAAAAGCTCACCCTGAGCAAGCTCAGGTGAGCTAAAAAGAAACAAAATAAAAAAAAATGCGGATATACTTCATTTGGGAATAGATGCAACGTACAATTGATTCCGATTTAAAATTGAGTGATACCTGTAATGTCAAGTTTAACCCTAAATTAAGCTGCTGAAGTAGTATACAGTCCGTTAAAAGTTAGAGAAATTTCAGTTAGTCATAATTATATCAAAATAAGGAGTTATCAACTGCAATAGCCTTGCCAAACTGGTTCCATACTGGCAGCAAAGCTAATCACTTTAGGTTTCTCAAGATTATGGACTAAGAATCAGAAATAAGTAAGAAGCAAATAAGTTCGAAATTCTCATACTTTTGACTATCAAGACAAATAATCATTGGCAAATTTCTCGCCTGAGTATCAAAGCGCGACGTAACCTGTGCGAGATCTCGGTTTATTTATAAAAGGTGAAAACAAATCAAATATTACTGCAGAGTCGACGAGGATGGTGTACTAGGGTGCGTGAGCCCCTTGTATGAGTGACGTCTTGGACGGCTAGCCCTTTGCTAGAACCAACAGCTCTTTTCAGGGCTACTTCCTTTTCTCATATTGTCTCAGGTTACTGTACATTTAGATTCTTATTGACAGTGACCTACTTTTGGCTCATGAAAATTGCATGGAGGTAAATTATCCTTTGTGCTTGAAAATTAATTCTTTAAGAATTTGACTGGTGACATGTTCGGGGTTTGTTCTCGACAGCGAAAGCTGCTTCAAGATTACAATGAATAAGGCCCTACATCAGTAAGCATCTATGAATGTTTGTATAAGTTTTCAAAACTTTGAATAAATCAGTGAAAGAAATAGATTATACCTCACCCATGAAATTATCAAGATTTTTCAGGATGTTTTATTCTTTCTTTAGGAACAGGTATCATAAAGTTTTGAATTTCAGTTGAGAAGAAAAAATATATTCTGATTAATATTCCGTGAGTTTGAAAATATATTATATATAATTAAACATAGTAAGTATAGATGAGTAATAGTTAGTATAGCGTTCAGGTTTTGTTTGTTACCTTGTAATTATGACCATCTAGATTGTCGAGAGTATCTCCGCACACACCACGTAAATGTTTGCGACATGCGTTGATTACCTCTTTATCTATTTATGACAGATTAAGGATTTAAGATCACAATTCATGATGTAATTTTTTTAAATAATAGATAGAAGTGTTATGCATGATTCTTCATTATCAGTATGCTAAAATACTTCAACCAATCGCATCATCTCGACTGTTTTCGTCAAACTTCGGATAGGAATAAATTATTATTACCGAGATGTTCTGATTGTACTTCAACGCCGCATCCTTATTGTCGAATAATTGACGGAAAAGTTGCGATTGTCGTCAAGTGTCAGGGAAGGTAACTCCAAACACATGGTATACTAGCTTAACTGTTTTAGGTATACACGTGCAAGTTCTTTGACAAATTACGTTGAAGTTGAACATTTAAATAGACGTGCAATCTATGTGCACATAAAACAAAGGATATTTCCACCATAAGGACATATTGTGGTAACATTTTTAGCAGTTCATGAAGAAGACCACCGTCTCCACCTCCCAGGATAAGAATAGTTTTATCTTTATACACGTTTCTGTTGATGCCAAGTAACGTCAACGTGTAGATGTTGTCTGATTCCGCTATCACTACAAAGGAAGAAATAATATAAACACAGAGTTATATTAACAAACATAAGTCTCTAATGTAACCAGTCTTATAAAACTACATAATATAAACAGGGAAACAAGTTTTAGTGTTCGACAAAATACAAAAAATAGCAATATCTATAGATAAATAAGACGTAAAATATACTTATAAATGATTTTTTCCTACTGTAAAAAATTATTTTTAACTGCAGTTGATATCTTGTGATATGAAAATTAGCATATTCCACCCGTTGCTACCTCGTGATTACTTTCTTATAACAAAACCAGCCTGATATATAAAAAATATTACTTTCACTACAGACATGTCCATTTATCAATCTGGACAAAGTCAGCCATCATTTAAACTGACTGAATAATGAACAGCGCTGATTTTGATCAGTTATGTAAACTCTTTCAAAGCTCATGCCCTTGTTTATAAATGGTTACTTTTCGATCAAAATGTTCTCGATCCGATATACTTTTAGCCGCTACACTGATACGTCGATACCGATCTTATTGAAGATTACTGACCGAGTTACACAGGTTCTACACAGATTAAGTAACATAAAACACACTTTGGTCAGTAGAGGGGCGTGTCATTTAGACCAAATGAAGAAAGTTGAAATCAGAGCCGTCATTAAGTACATCTGTAAGAAAGAGATGTCCCCAAAGGAAATCCATGAAGACTTCATGGATACACGTGGGAAGGTGTTCCCTTCCTATAGCACAGGCTGAATTTAAGAGGGGCATGGAGGGCGTTAGAGATGATGAGCGGCCGGGGCGGCCAACGATGAAACTGTCGAAGCTGTACACGATCTGATCAAGTGCGACAGAAGGCGAAGCATTGCTATGGAATTGGGTATAAGCTTTGGTTCAGTTCAGGAAATTCTGACTGATGTCTATGGCATGTCAAAGGTTTCCGCTAGATGGGTCCTCAGACAGTTGACTGACGACCAGAAACGGACCAGGCTTGACATTTCAAGATATTTTTCGTCTCGCTACGAGGATGAACCTGATATTATCTACAGGATCGAATCTAAGGATGAAACATGGATCCATCACTTCGATCCAGAATCTAAAAAACAGAGCATGCAGCGAAAGCACCCTGGCTGACCCCCTCCGAAGAAATTCAAGAGGGTGCCATCAGCAGGGATAGTCAAGTGATAATCATGATTGACTATCTTGAGCAATGTCGTTCCATAAACGGTACGTACTATGCAGACGAATTGAGACGTCTGCGTCAAAACATCGCGCATAAAAGAAGGGGCAAACTGACTCAAGGCGTTCTGCTCCTGCACGACAATGCGCAAGCTCACACATCCAAAGTTGAGATGGCTGCTGCAACTGACTGTGACTTTGAAATTCTTCCCAATTCCCCATATTCTCCGGACTTGGCCCCCTCTGACTTCTACCTGTTTCCCAAACTTAAAACCAAGCTTCGTGGTAGACGTTTAGGAGGCAATGAATGTGTCATGGAGTCGGTCAATGAGTTCTTTGAGGACCAAAATACTAGTATAAGTTCTATTTTGAAGGGTTTAACAAGTTGGACCACAAGGGGACAAAGTGTTTTGGTTTAGAGGGCGATTACTCATAGTTTGACACGAACTCTCGTTTGGCAACAGCTCTTGCTTATTTCACATTTTCTAACTCCTCTGAAACCCTTTCATATATTTGTGTTTTGACAAAAGATTTCTGTACGTTGTCGTACTTAGAGAAATTCTCACACCTAATTTCAGTATTTTTGCATGAAAACTATATGCAAATTAATTTGAAGTTTTAAATACTGGTTTCACGTTTATTGACATTTCGCATGTTTTGCACTTAATTTATTTGATATGTTTTGCATAAACAAGCCTAGCTTATTTTACACATTTACAAACCTTTAGTTAACTCCAACTTATTTCACGTGTTTTTGACATACACCCCCTGTAAATTCTCGTATTTTAAAATAAGTCGTTATGTATTTCACGTGTTTTTGACATAACCCCCTGTAAATTCTCATATTTTGATATAAGTCGTCATGTTTTTCACGTGTTTTGACATAAACCCTCCTGTAAATTCTCATATTTTAACATAAGTCGTCATATATTTCAAGTGTTTTTGACATAACCCCCTGTAAATTCTCGTATTTTAACATAAGTCGTCATATATTTCGTGTGTTTTTGACATAAACCCTCCTGTAAATTCTCATATTTTAACATAAGTCGTCATATATTTCAAGTGTTTTTGACAGTAACCCCCTGTAAATTCTCGTATTTTAACATAAGTCGTCATATAATTCATGTGATTTTTACATAACACTCATGTAAATTCTCGTATTTTAACATAAGTCGTCATATATTTCGTGTGTTTTTGACATAACCCTCCTGTAAATTTTCGTATTTTAACATAAGCCGTCATATATTTCATGTGATTTTTACATAACACTCATGTAAATTCTCGTAGTTTAACATAAGTCGTCATATATTTCGTGTGTTTTGACTCACTTATTTCATCATCAAGACAGAGCATGTTTCCACAATCCGGTGTTTTGTAAATCTTTATATTCTGCCAGGGCGAGTTTACTTCTGTCACAAGCTGTGTTGTTTGATGAATCTCCCATAGCCTATCATCCCCCAGTTGGAAATATGGACAAATCTTTCCTCTCTTTATCGCGGACGGAACGCTTTGGATAGAAGTGACAAATTTTGAATTTAATCTCAAAAGGTGCGTTTGAAATTAGGTATCAACATTTTTTTATCAATTTTAATCAGTTGAATGTTTAATACATGTTAAATATCAAGGAGGACAGAAGTTGCAGTGAAAGTTTTTCTACGAAACTCATTCCAATGGATGTCCGTGGGCATTGTGTAGCGTAAACTTTTTCTACTTGGCAGTTATAATTATGGTGGCATTTTAAGATATATACAAGATCCCTTTTTATAAAATTGACGTTACATACTTGCACTATCATAAAGATTCCTATAACCATAAATAAGGTCAAGAGTTACCTTCGTGTATATAGGCATTTCTTTCCAAGTAAAGTCTGTATTTCGGACTCTATACCTTTGTTTTTCTAAAAATAAATGTGCAATAGATGATGTGTTTTTATATAAAAATAATAACAATATCAAATAAAAAATGATAGATAATTTTTTTGATATAGCAGTATTTGATATAACAACTTTCAAAAAATCATATATGACTTGATGCCTATATTCGACATAACTAAATATAAATTCTACAATTAAAAAGTCAAAATGTATAACTTTAGGGAAAACAAAATAACTGCATGATTTAAGAATTATAGCATTTGTAGATTATTTTAGAAACATGGACATAAAGAACAAAATAAACTTACCGAGAAGGCAATATAGCTCAGTCTCTTTTTGGCATCATCGGAAGTGAGGTCATATTGAATATCAATAGTGACAAGGCCATGACTGTACACGTGCATCACGCAGTGACTGATAAAATATGAAACTATAAATGAACTATAATTCTTATGTACACAATTACTGTTATTATGAAATATAATTTATCGTATAATATATTATGAAATATTGTTGTTCTGTAAGCGCCAATTAACAAATATGGTAAAACATTGATTCTAACTTACCTGTCACAAAATGCAAAATTGACTTTGGTCTTTATCTTATAGCACGATGTAGGCCTACATCCGGTCTCATAATAAATTTTAGATAAGCCTTTATTTTTTGACTGAAATTTTAACCATTTGGTGAACATTTATATATGCACGTTACATGAACCTCTTCAATTAAACAGGGAGACTGTCATGGCCACCATGACTTTTAAATAGAAAATTCGACTTTTCCATCATTGCGCCTCCATTTGGTTCCGTATGCGGGTACGGTACGTATGTTGTACCTTGTTGCATTAAGGTCATTGCGGTAGAGGTCATCGATGCAAAAAATAGATTTATCGTTTCTACTCACCTATGCATGAGTTAAAAGCACTTGCATACTTTACAAAGGACCAAAACCGCAATTATTATTGGCAATACTCAAAATTTTAGTAACCCTTAAATTGATGCAAAGGATGACGTCCCACTATATAATGACGTGACAAAGAAATTATATTTAAAAAAATGTTTTTGCCCAACCTTCCATCGTCGCCTGTGGCAACCAACATTTTATTTCCATTTGGAACATTTACAAGCACAGGAGTCGTCTGCGAGTCTATGACTGAACATGGTATTGTTTGTATTTTGTTCCAAAGATCTGCAAATATAAAAATGGCAGGTGTTATGTATGTAACTCTCCTTTGCGCATGCTCGTAAAGACCAAGCAAACAAGAAAAGTAATATACGGCGCAAAAATGTCTGATTTTAGCTTTTTTATCGTTTTGTTTCCAATAAATTCTCGGGGTTGAAATAAAAAGCGATACAAACGACGATAAAATAGAGAGAAAAAACGCAGTCCCTTAGGAATGCACGAACGGCTAAATTGAAAATGTTGCAGGTTCGGTTTGAATTAGCCTGTATATGAACGGTACTGGAAATTGCAAGCAACCGTCCACGTCCCATAGCTTAAGCATAATTCAACAATGAAAAATGAAAATGCTGAAATTTTAAATTTAGAAACATCCGCAGATGTGTTGATACGGCGGAAGCTTTAATGGCAGTCATGAAAAGCGGCATATGGTCCCTAAGTAAAAGGACGTGTGTGTCCAAAAGGAGAAAACAAAAGGTGGAACTAAATACAATGGAGTTTTGAAAGAGGATCCGAGGTTATAAAGCTTGCATATCACAGATAAAAAAAATGAAAAAATAGACGTGATTATAAAGCATTTAAGTTTGAATAATCAACCCACCCTAAAAAAATCAAATAAAATACTCCATTATATGTACATTTGTATATAAATAATTATAGAAACTATTATATCTGCTTGATTTGTCAAGCGCAAACTAGTCAAGTTAGGGAAAATTAAATATAAACAGGTCCATCGTGAATTTACGGTACCCTTATATGATATAAAAAATGTTTATCGCCCTATTTTAAGCAAATCATGATGAAAGAATAAATAAGAGGGTTGAGAGTGATCCCCCTATTAGCATCTGCCGGTGAATATCACGTCATATTCAATGGCTCACAAGTCAAAATTGTATATTCAAGTTTGAATAATGAACTCACCTGTCAAAAAAATTCAAATAAAATACTCCATTATATATACAGTTGTATATAAAGAATTATAGAAAATATTATATCTGCTTGATTTGGCAAGTGCAAAATAGTCAAGTTAGGGGAAATAAAATATAAACTGGTCCATCGTGAATTTACGGTACCTTGGGTTTTAATAAATATGATATAAAACAGTTTATCGCCCTATGTTAAGCAAATCATAATGAAAGAATAAATAAATAAATAAATAAATGAATAAATAAATAAGAGGGTTGAGAATGATCACCCTAGTTTGAGCCCATATATCATGTAAGATTTTATAAAGGTTTGTAAAAAAAATGTTATACATGTTTGTATATGTTTTAATGACACTCGCTTTTAAAATAACTTTTACCGTATTTCATTTCTGTTCAACAGATCAAAACAGTTTTTTCAATTATTATTTCCTATTAGCATGGTTTAATATTTCGTGCATGGATTCACCACAAAAAGATGCACACAAAATAGAAACATTTTGAAAATAGATCTTCCTTTCTTCATTGGAGAAACCAAGTTTGCGCAATGAGCAGTCAACAGTAAAATGATATAAATTGATCCCTCACTCATCTGATATAGTATACTATGATTGAGGGCAAGTAGGTATGTAAATTTTTAAGGAAAATGATGTTATTGTTGTTGTTTTGTTGTGTTGTTTGTTCTTGTAAGGCTGATAATGTAAACTTTAATGTATGATTGCCGATTGACATCTTGTACGTTCAGATACTAATCAGCATGTGTTTTCATACTCGTATATATTATTTGATAAAACATCTGAAAATGTTTATATTACATTTATGTTATGAGAATATAACCGTACACTCTGTGTGTAATAAAAATGTCAAGATCTTGTCTGTCCTGGTGAAACCTGCCATTTTAATGACTAGAGTAAAAATTAACGTAGCATTTCTAAATTAGCAAAACAACTTCTAATATGATAAATTGAAAGTATCTCCGCAACTTATACGACACTATAGAGGATATTCAAGGTTTTTTTATAAGTATAGGCTTTATTTTCATATAGTAGTATGAAAATAAATATTTCATGAGTGACAGTAGCCATGAGTGAAATATGATAATTTTCATACCACTTGTGAAAATTAATCCTGTATTTATAGAAAAAAAACTTTAATTTTCTGTTTATTATATTATATTATACATTTTTCTCCTTGTTTTTAACATTACAATTTGGAAGACTTCCCTTTAAATTTTGTGTATTGGCTGAACTTAGAAGACAGTAGTTCGGCAAGACACCAGTGAAAATATGAAAAATATGTTTCACTGCAGTAAAAAATATTATTTACAGTGAAACACTAGTACTAGAATATGCAAATTATTTCATCAATATTTCACTTGTAAGTGTATAATAAAGTGTTTTTGTTTAATTTGAGTATTTCAGCCTACGACATTAATCATTTGTGCACTGCGCAGAACATTTGGAGAACAAAAAAAGATAATAGGAATGGCTGAACTCCTAGGACGCAGACACTAATTTAAATTTTAAATAATCGGGAAGTCAAAGAAGTCCGTGAAAATCATAAGTTTCATGAACGAATTAAACATGTATCATAAAAAAAGGTATTAGTATAATCATAAACAAAAAATATTGTAATGGACAAGAATCAGGCTAACGAATATCGAATTAATTATTTCACTTATTCCCAGGAAGGAGTACTAAATTGGTTAAGTGATGAAATATTTAGCACACACTATCCACTATAACACTCGAGAGAGAGAAGTGATCGGCGTGAATCAATACATGTTTCCTAACTCTCAATATATATATTATCCTTTACTCTAACATTAGATGTAACCGTTACATTTACAAAGCACACTGTCAATATATCATCATGTCATAAAATTTTGATAATCATTTTAAAACTTCAATGGAAATAAGAGTTTCTCTCTTTTTTTGTGCTTTCCTTGATTTTGGTGTGCATGTCATGGCTTATAATTTATCTTGTATGTTAAATATTTGGAATGTCCATGTCTATGTATTCTATACCATAATAAATCTGTCTATCTTATATATTTATTTTACTTCATTGCACATGAAACTACCATAGCGAGCGCCATTTTCCACGTCCTCAGATTTTGCTACTTAAGTAAAATACGTTTTTATCAGATTTAAGAAGTTATATACATGGGAAATGATGTAAGATATAATTTCATATTTTATGTTTACTGAATACATAATTGACTGATCAGTTTATAAAAAATATAATTATAAAGATGGTTAGAGTAATAAATTTACACATCGGCCCCCAAACAAAAAAAATACATCAACAAATTATATCAAAATTGTGAATAAATCTGGAATAAATCATGTTTTCCTGATTTGTTAATACAATTTGTTCATGATTCATTAAATGAATCATGAATAAATTGTGCTTTTACTGGAAAGAAAATACCCCATTTATTATAGATTCATTACAAAAGACAGATTTATTAACCATTGATTACAAACATAAGATATATATTCAATACAATTTATTGCAAATTCATTACACTTGAACTGGAATGCATACAATTTATTCATGATTTATTGGAAATAGAACTTTTCCCGACTGCATTTAATACCATTTATTACAAATTCATTACACTTTAAAGTTCTGAGATATTTACAAGTTGTTCATGATTCATTAAAATCAGAGATTTTCCAGGATTTATTCAATACAATTCATAACATATTCATTGTACTTCAGATGTTCATAATTTGCTTAATTATAACAGAAATTTTCATTGATGTAGGTCCTTTTGTTTTACTGTTCATAACAACTAAACCCCTCTAAACTATACAAATATATTTTTTTTAATTTCCCTTTACTCATTACCGTACTTGTTTTTAATCAGTCACTGGAAAAATATATATGGGTTTGTCAAGTCTCTTAGTTTAAGCATCACCATATTATTAATTCAATGCTCAGCGCAAAACGTAAAAAAAGAGTCAATTATACAATCTCGTTTTACTGTTAAATATGTCTAACTAATTTGCATGTAGATTTTATTTTTGAGTGATCAAGATCAGTTTTTGTCTTTCTTATTGTTAATACGCAATCTGATCCATACCCACGGCTTTTTATGATTAGATCTATCATTATCGGTAAAAAAAAACTGTCGAATAGATTAACTATACGTATATGCGTAAAAAGGTAAAATGTCGTAAAAAAGCGACTTAATTCTCTCGGACTTAACATCTGTTGTTAGTTTATTTTTTTGAACAGCATGGCTCCCAGCCGCGCGATTAAACGATAAGATCTTGCAGGGAACTGCAGCCTACCGAGCGCCCCCTATCAGCCGACAACAGAACAAGATTAATAGGAAACGAAAAAATTTTGCCATTTCAGAATCAAAGTGCTGAAAGCACTGATGGGGGCGCAATATGTGCAAAATTCAAATTTGTATAGCAATCTACTTTAGGTGTTCCAATCTGATATCATTCTTCTTTCAAAGTTGAATAAGTGCCCATTTTGTACACAATATAATAGTATCGCCTCCAAACTCTTGTCAAAATTGAAAATCATGTACCAAGAACATACTAACAAACCCAGGCAAAATGCATAATTGATATCATGAATAAACATTTTAAATTATGACCACACGGCGGTGCTTGTTTTTAAAACTTTAAATAACATGGCACCGACTTATATGACAGAACTGCTGACTTTATCCGACAACAAAATATATAACTTAAGATCTAGGTCACGAAAAGATATTGTATTATGGACAAGACCTAAAACAAATTATATTAAAGACACATTTTCTTATTATGGCATGAACATTTGGAACAATATACCTTTAAATATTCGTAATGTTAATAACCTTAAATGTTTTAAAGAAAAATACAAAGCATATCTTGATGTTCATATGAATGAATGAGTGAATTAATGAATGAATAAATATATGAACGAACGAACGAATGATGCAATATACGTATATGTTTAAACAAATTGTTGAGTGTCTGTCGAAAGTATATAAGTTGTATTATTCTAAAAATTACATATTATACATTCATTTTTCTACCTATGCATGTCCTGTTGTTGTTGTTGTTTTCTATTTCAGAAGGCCACATTGGAAATAAGATATATATGATTGTTATTGTAT